TCACAGCCTTTGCATCTCAGCCGTCATTTTAGGTCGGAAATTTTTTTGTCTGGCGGTCAGACAGCACCCATGACGAGACAAGGCTTAAAACACCTAACATATAGGCTTATAGCCTGTGCAACTCTGCGGAAAGACTGCCGCGTGCAGGTGAGGTGAGAATAAAACGCCAGGCTCTGGACATCGTGGCATGCAATGCTTTTGCTACTAAAATGCCGAGATCCTGGTGCGGCCCGAGAGTATCTGGGTCTGTCACCGGTGCCGGCGCCCGCTTTGACACAAATTTCCTTTCAGAGGAACGTTTCGAAATGATTATACGGGGCACTTACCAGGCCAAAACGAACCAGACGATGCATATGCGAGGCGAATGGGTCGCTATAACGGACGCCTTCCTAAATGGGGTTAGTTGGTTCAAGATCTGTCTGTTGCACGAAAGACATCGTCCATTTGTCAAGCAAAAAGAACTTAGGTGCTCATGTGTTGATCATTCGACGTGGTGTTGTTGGATATATATCCGTGAATCTAAGGTGCTCACTGGCTTTCGTATCCTGGATTATTGCGCTATTCTTAGGTTGCTCGATTCCAGGTCCCATTTCCTTGAAAACTAGGAAGAATGCATACGTTCTTGTATTATGTAACACAAAACGTATTTCGTGTCAAAACCTTGCATAGCTAGCACGACATCGATTTAGAGCTAATTGACGGCCGCTTTATTTGGAAATCGGGCTTCACGATATGGGCGACATGAACGAGTGCACAACTTTTTCTTGGCCTGGATCACCGCATAGCTAATGGAATGGCACGGCTTGAATGACGTTATTATGGAGCCATAGTTGCCTGGGTGACCCCGAAATAGTTTCCCCGAAATAGTCCGTACATCTTCGCGGGTGTGTAGCTCAGAAACTAGAGTGATTGGGTAAGAACGGCTGTAAACTTCACCAAATGATCTTCAAGATGGATATTTCAGTCCTAAACCGCATATAAACGTGGAACACTCCCTTTAAACAGTTAGGTTTCACGTGCACAGAATTTCCCTCGCGGGTGTCTGAAGTCTAGACCTACCTTTCGCTTTTGCTGTGTACCAAAGTCAAACAGCAGTCTAGATTGATGCGTGCTGGCACAAACAAAAATAAAATTTCACTGCAACTAAACCGGACGAGGTAGCGAGTATGCCCAGTTCTTGTACCGCACAATCACATCCCCAGACCTTGCCGAAGGCGTGCTCCATCCTATCCGTGACGTCACGAGTTTTCCTGTCATTGGCGCCTGGCTGCAATGACAAACCGCATCGTGTGGACGGATTAAGGACATTGGCGGACCACATTGGGCTGTGCAAACGGAACATCTGGCGCAAGACATAGCGTTCGCTGTGAGCCCTCTCCCCCCTCACCCCCCCCCCCCCCTCCCCCCCCCCCCCCCGGCAGAACGGGTGAGCAGCTTCGGAGCTGGACCCCGCAACGAAGGTCCCAGCTGTCAGATTCGGAGAAGAGGTTCTAGGTCATGTTGAGCGTTTTCAGGAAAGGTAATGAGGTACTTCTAGTCGCAGGCGTCATTAAGAAGCGCCCGCGAACTTACAATCGCACGCAACTACACGGTAGCCAGCCATAAGTACAGAGATGAAAGCGCATGACTCAATTTTACATTTCTCAACTTTAACGCATTTATCATCCCATCAGCCAGCCACCAGCATGTAGCAAATGATACTCCCACGGCTCGTGCGTCGCTTCTACCAGGGAGTAAGTGACTTATAGAAGCCAAACAAAACGCAGTTGATAGGAGCACTTAATTGATAGACAAGGCTTTAAACCCAGCGATAGTCAACTTCAGAATAATTCTCATGAACACAGTAAACTACATGAGTGGCAAATGAGAAGTGCAACAATTTGCTACCCTCTTGAACAGCATCATCATAAAATCCCACTCCGTCTGAAAACTTATGCCCCTTGCCTCGCCAATGTGTGTCCAACGGTCCCACTTATGTAACCGAGGTTCTGGCGGCTCTTCCTTCGGACTTTTCAAGCACCCGAATAGAGAGCCAAATTTGGAGAGTGAGCCCGTCATGGGTTGTTCGTGTTTCTTCTGATGGTGATACGCCTCCTGGGGTGGCCATGCAACCAGGATCAATATCACTATTCTACAATCATCATCATCGACATCCTAACAATCATCATCAACCTATACAGCATCATAGATAATCGTCATCATCATGCTGACAATCACCACCACAAACATCACTAGCATCGTTATCATGATCATTATCAACATCAGCATTATCAGCTTCCTTAGTAGCACAAGGAGTAGTAATAGCAGTAGTAGTAGTAGTAGTAATAGTGGTTGTAGTAGTAGAAATATAAGTAGTATTAGTAGTAGCAGTAGAAGTAGTAGAAGTAGTAGTAGTAGTAGTAGTAGTAGTAGTAGTAGTAGTAGTAGTAGTAGTAGTAGTAGTAGTAGTAGAAGTAGTAGTAGTAGTAGTGGAAGTAGTGGTATAAGTAGCAGTAGCAATGATAGTAGTAGAAGTACCGCTATCATCATCGTCATCATCATCCAGAACGTTCGGGAAGCTGCCCTGTCGTGCTGGAGCCAGTAATCTGACATTCGCCCTTCCCGTGGTCTTGCTCCAGCTGCATCCAGAAAGAAAAGCATTCCAGCGTGCAGACGTACCGCTCCTTGTCGACCGCGAATACGGCCACATCATTGGCCGCGTAGTGTTCAGGGCCAATACAAAATGTGGTCATCGAGTTGTTCGTGTCTGGCGTGCGTCGGCAGAATTTTTGGCATCAACGGACTGCAGTTGGCTATTAACCAATGAAATGCATTCAGCGCAAGTTTCGAATGCGGCACACGTTTTGTGCTACATAATACAGGAAGTTGGGCAGTGGCACGACTGGTTACAGAAATAAGGCTGGGAATCCAACAAGTTACGAAGAGCGCCATAACCGAACATGAGAACGGAAGTAAATAATATAGGATCAGCGATAAATATGCGGGAATACCAAAAGAAAGTGCCAAGGCAGGAGCACATATTTGGTTCTACAAGCATCATGCATTGGGTTTAGGATTACAGCTTATTCCACTGACCTTGAGGCTGGTGTGAAGATCAGATCCAGGTCAAATCCCTTTTTGTTCCACATACCTTGCTTTATGGAGAAGTTTTCGACGCTCATTTCAATTTTTGGCCGCATGGAGATAAATAAATGTGTGATTATAACTTTTTGAAGCTGCAAAGAGGTGTCACTGACCTAGAATGACACCGACCAACATTTTGGGTATAGGAACATACCGCCCAGCCAAATACACGTCGTCAATCTTATTTCTGTTTTTTTTTTTAAGAAGATGCCGCCAAATCTTACCGCTTCTTAAACTTCAAAAGTTGGAACAATCGGGCGGGTATTGGTCACCATGACCTTTTAATGGTGAAATAAGGTCAGTGAGAGTGACCTGAAATATACACCAGAAACAGTTTGCTGAGAAGAGGTATTCAAGTTTAAGGCGCTTGCACAATGCAGGGGTGGCGTCACGGATTCTGAGTCGGGCGGGGGGCAAGATTTTTCTGAGGGATCGCCTCTTGGACAAAATGGAATCTCCAGGCACAGGGGGCCTTTTGGGTAGTGTCGTATTCAATGCGGAGAGGTACCGATTGTATGTGCCATTTTGCCAAATTGACACAAACAACATATTCAGGTAATATCCAAAATGGTGAACGGCTGATTATCCAGCAAGAATCTGGTTATCCTAAAATAGGACCTTCTACTGCACAGGGAGGCCTCCCTAATCATGACAGAATGCCTCCTATTTACGGAGGGGCCTCGAAATTAAGGCACGAGGCCTCGTCTATCCCCCGAAGTAGCATTCTGAACCGGAACCACAGCCATTTGATGCATGCAAGGAGCCTCCTGCCCCAGAATGCGCCCTCCTGAGTTCAGAGGTTGCGTTCTAACAAAAGCAGCGATATCGTAGTTCAAAACGGGAAATCTCGAGATAGCAAAGGGGTCTTCTTCAGATAGAATTGTGTCTACTAATCTATGGCATGGGATACGTTATGAAAAAAGGTGGCCAGATGATGCATACATTCGGCTTCTTGATGCAGGAAGGGTCTTCTGAGCCCGATTGATTACCTTAGCTCAATCGTGGGGATTCATTCATTTAAATTTTGGTGATCTGCGAATGACTTTGTTGAGAGTTTGCCAAATAAATGTGACCATGTTTGACCAAATTTGACTAGATGGACTTTAGACTTCAACAAAAGTGATTTTACATGCACACCTATTCATCCTGTGACTCTGGTGTCTCTAGCTTCTTAGTTTTGACATCTCAGCAGGGTCAAATTGACCGCACCCCACTCGAGCGGCGTCACATGCAACGGGCCACCCGGGCGCGCGTTACAATATGCCTTGGATGCTTGGGAGTCCGTTCAGTTTTTTGTACCTCCACCCCCACCCCACTCCCAAACTGTACGGTTGCATCCGCCACTGCTCTTCTGCCACTGCCATGATCGTGGTCGAAGCAGTCGATTCCTTTCCAGCTGCCACGCCCCACTTTGAGAATTCTGTGCATCGACACTGTGTCCATGGGAACCATTGATAGCAAGCTCCTTAGAGCGGCGGCATCAGGGTGGTTTTCTTTTTTTGTCATGCCATGCTGTTTGAAACACACAGCTGGATTGATTTGCTTGCTGCGCGAAACTCAATAGCAGATCTTGAAACGACAGATAAAATAAGGGAAAAGAAATCGTAGTTGTTTGACGCTTACCGCGCCATCTCACGTCAAAACTGTTAAGCTTAGCGCTAGAGTCGGGCGAGAGTCTGTCGCGTAAAAGTACTTCAATAATGTTAATTTTTGTAGTAAAAAACTAGCTATGCAGTCAATGACCCTGAGTCACCTCAAACAAAAGGTATCTTCACATCAATGCACTGATCGTGGTCTTGGGAGAACCTGACCAGAAAGTCCAAGATTCTACCAACGTTTTTAGAAAGCCCGTGGGATAGAGTACAAAGATTCAATGTCCCACCCGCTACTAGCGTTGCGAAAGTTTGTAAACTTGCCTAGGGGTAAGTCAGACTCACGATGTTTTGATTCCTTGTCTGTCCGTACGTAAATGACACGTTAGTGGCCTGCAACAATTTATCTTTGTCCCAATGAAATTGTTTTTTCTTAGCGCATGTAGGCGTGTCTGTACAGCAACAGTTGTGTTGCGCTGCAATCGTCTCGTGGAACCCTTGGCCTATCTCTCTAGGTAGGTCAGGGCATAATGAAGGCGTAAACATTCCACAATCTGTTACACATGCTGGTTCACAAATTCTAAGCATGCTGGCATTTTTAAATTTCAGTCAATCAGATAACGTGCATTAAATGGTAATTTTTTACTTGGGTACCTGTATGGCCGACGGAGGGAAGAGCTACGCTAGCTGCAGGGTTTCGAGTATTGTCGTGCGGGGCAAAAGCTGTGAGGCATCAGCTAACATTGTGACGTCACTGAAAATGGTTTTGCATCGATTGGGATCGGGGTTCTTTCGGGCCGACTGAAGGCCATAAGGCTTTTGCTTGTGATATGATGTCACTGGTATTCGGCTGGGTATGTGACGTCACTGGTCGTGAGTGTGTAAGGCTCTTTTGGGTCCACTGAATGCCGTAATGCATTAGCTGGCCATGTGCCGTCACTGGTATTCGATTGAACATCAGGCGCGGCCGGCCTCGTTCCATCTTTACTTTTCGTACCTGTCTGCTGCAAGCATTTGCGTGCCGCATAAAGGTTTGACCGAATTACCCCAATGTGTGACGTCCCTAATCATCACTTCATACGAGTGCACTTAGGCCTCACGACCACGGTGTGTCGTGGTCCGCGAAGTATCACCGGATAGCGTGACGTCACTGGTATTCGAATAAAAACTGGGCGCAAGAGGCCGTGCTTCATTTTTACCTTTGTACTTGTCTACTGCAAGCATTGGCGTGCTGGATGAAAGCTGCCGAACCACCTGAGTGTGTGACATCACTGGCCATGAGTTCCAACGGTGCTTTTCGGCCAACTGAAGACCACAAGGTGTCAGCTAACGACGTCACTGCTATACGACTGTAAGACGTCAATGGCCGTGGGTTTCCACGGGCCCTATAGGACCGACGAAATGCCGTTAGGCATCAGCTGGCGATATGACGTCACTGGTATTTGGCTGAACATCAGGCAACAGGTCATGCTCCATTTATACCTTTCGTACATGTCTGCTGCAAGTATTGGCGGATTTTTTTGTGCGGCCAACTGAAGACCATAAAGCATCAGCTAACGATGTGACGTCGCTGGCACTCGACTGTGCGTGTCGCTGGTCATGAGGTTTTACGGCCTCTTTTGGGGCGACGAAAGGTCATACGGCAATGACTGAAGATGTGACGTCACTGGTATTCGAATGAACTTCGGGCGCGACAGACCATGTTCCACCTTTATCTTTGGTACCTGTCCATTGCAAGCATTGCCGTGGAAGGCTCTGCCAAATTACCTGAGTGTGTACGTCACTGACCATTAATTTGCACACTCTTTTGCGCCTACTATAGGCCACAAGGCATCAGCTGACGATATGATGTCACTGGGTTTCGACTAGACATCATGCGCAACAGGCCATGCTCCATCTAAGCCATGTTTCGTCTGTACCTTTCGCACCTATCTACTGCAAGTATTCGCGCGACACAGGGGCTCTGCCGAATTACCTGAGCGTGTGGTGTAACTAGTTATGAGTTAACGCGGGTTTACTCTGGCTGACTGAAGGACATCAAGCATCAGCTGACGATATGACGTCACTGGTATTCGACTAAACTTCAGGCGCGACAGGCCATGTTCCATCTTTACCTTTCGTACCTGTCTCTTGGAAGTATGGGCGTGCTGAATGAAGGCTCTGTCGAGTCTCCTGAGTAAGTAACGTCACTGGTCAAGAGCTTTTTACGGGACCTTTTGCACCCCCAAACGGTATAATGCATCAGCTGATGATATGACATCACTGGTGTCCGACTTAACATCAGGCGCGACAGGCCATGTTCTATCTTTACCTTTCGTACCCGTCTATTACAAGTATTGACGTGCTGAATGAAGGCTCTGTCGAGTCTCCTGGGTGTGTAACGTTACTGGTCATGAGTTTTTTCTGGCTCCTTGGAACCCTCTATAGGGAAAAATGCATCAGTTGACGACATGATGTCAATGGTGTTCGACTTAACATGAGGCGTAACAGGTCATGTTCCATCTTTGCCTTTCGTACCTGTAAAGTATTGGTGCGTTAAATGATGGCTCTGCCGAGTCACCTGAGTGTGCGACGTCACTGGTCATGAATTTTTACCAACTATTTTTGGCTGAGCGAAAGCCATAAGGCATCAGCTAACGAAATGACGTCACTGGTAATCCACTGAGTGTGTGACGTCACTGGTCATGAGCTTTTATGGGCCTTTTTTGGCCGAGTTCAGGTCATTAGGCATCAGATAACGTTATGGCGTCACTTGTATTCGAATTAACATCAGTTGCAATAAGCCATGTTTCATCTTTACCTTTCGCACCTGCCTACTGCAAGTATTCGTGCGCTACAAAAAGGCTCTGTCGATTCGCCTGAGCGTGTGGTGTAACTGGCCGTGAGTTTGTGCAGGTTTACTCGGGGTGACTGACGGACATCAAGCATCAGCTGACGATATGACGTCACTGGTAATCGACTAAACTCCAGACGAATCATCTGAGTGGGTGACGTCGCTGGTCATGAGTTCATACGGATTCACTTGGGCCGCCCAAGGCCACAAAGCAACACCTCCCGTGAAGCATCACAGGATGATATGTCGTCACTGTTATTCGACTTAACATCAGGTCCAACATGCCACGTACTTTCTTTACCTTTTGTACTTGTTTATTAAAGGTATTGACGTGCTGAGTGAAGGCTCCGTCGAATCTCCTGAGTGTGTGACGTCACTGGTCACGAGTTTTTTACGGGCTCCTTTGAACCCATTTTAGGTTATAATGCATCAGCTGACGACATGACGTTACTGGTGCTCGACTTAACATCAGGCGCAACAGGTCATGCTCCATATTTGCCTTTCGTACCTGGCTGCTGCAAATATTCGCGTGCTATATGAAGGCTCCGCCGAATCACCTGAGTATGTGACGTCACTGATCATCAGTTGGTAGGAGGTCACTTGGCCACCTACGGCTACGGAGTTCCGCAGCAGAGGTGGGAGATGCACCATAGTTAAGCACACTAATTTTAATGTGCGCACCATTAAGTAACAACTTCAAACGCAACGGGCTGTTTCAATGACTAAAATTTTGAACAAACGTAAACACAAAACAAAGGTGATCCCAGCCCACAAACCGACGTATATGCAAAGCTATTCCGCCCGACATCACAGGATGCGCCCCTGAGCAGCTACGGTCCGGAATGCCCTGATGGCTAAATAATAATCAAGGGCGCCGCCTAGCGGCCATAAGTCTGGGCCACAGCCCGAATATCAGTGACGTCATATGGTCAGGTGATGCTTGATGTCCTTCAGTCAGCCCGAGTAAGCCCGCGTAAACTCATGACCAGTTACACCACATGCTCAGGTGATTCGGCAGAGCCTTTATGTAGCGCGCGAATACTTGCAGTATAGAGGTGCGAAAGGCAAAGATGGAACATGACCTGTTGCGCCTGAGATTAAGTCAAATACCAGTGATGTCATATCGTCAACTGATGTCTTGTACCCTATAGGTACAAAAAAGCAGCCCGTAAAGAACTCATGACCAGTGACATTACACACTCAGGAGATTCACAGAGCTTTCCTTAAGCATGTCAATGCTTACAATAGACAGGTACGAAAGGTAAAGACGAACATGGCCTGTCGCGCCTGGTGTTAAGTTGAATACCAGTGACGTCACATCGCCAGATGATGCTTGATGTCCTTCAGTCAGCCCGAGTAAACCCGCGTAAACTCATAACCAGTCACACCACACGCTCAGGTGATTGGGCAGAGCCTTTATGTGGCGCGCGAATACTTGCAGTAGATAGGTGCGGAAGGTAAAGATGAAACATGACATATTGTATCTGATGCTTAATTGAATACCAGTGACGTCATATCGTTACCTGATGCCTAATGGCCTTAAGTCGGCCCAAAAAGGCGCGGGAAAACTCATGACCAATGGCGTCACACACTTAGTGGATTACCAGTGACGACATATCGTTAGATGATGCCCAATGGCTTTCCCGGCCAACAATAGCCTGTAAAAACCCATGATGACGGACTCAGATGATTCGGCAGAGCCATCATTAGGCTCGCCAATACTTTAACAGGTGCGAAAGGCAAAGATGGAACATGACATGTTGTGCCTGATGCTAAGTCGAACACCAGTGACATCATATCGTCAACTGAAGCATTATACCGCATAGGGGGTTGAAAAGAGCCCGTAAGAACTCTTAACCAATGACGTGATATAACACGCGAATGCTTGCAGTAGACAGGTACGAAAGGTAAAGATGGAACATGGCCTGTTGCGCCTGATGTTGTGTCGAATACCAGTGACGTCATATCATCCCGCGATGCTTTACAGGATATGATGCTTTGTTGCATTGGGCTGCCCAAGTGAACCTGTATAAACTCATGACCAGTGACGTCACGCACTCAGATGGTTCAGCATCACCTTGATATAGCACGCGAATGCTTGCAGTAAACAGGTACGAAAGGCAAAGATAGAGCATGGCCTGTTGCGCATGACACCTAGACGAAAACCGGTGACGTCATATGGTCAGCTGATGTGGTATGGCTTACAGTGGGTTCAAAACAGTCTATACAAATTAATGGTTAGTGACGTTACACACTCAGGTAATTCGGCAGACCCTTCCTTCAGCATTCAAATACTTGCAATGGACAGGTACCAAAGGTAAAGATGGAGCATGGCCATGGCCGCCTGAATTGTATTCGGATACCAGTGACGGCGCATCTTCAGTTAATGTAGTATGACCTTTCGTCGGCCCAAAAGAGGCCGTAAAATCTGATCACAAGTGACATCACACGCAGTCGAATGCCAGTGACGTCACATCATTAGGCTATGCTTTACGGCCCTCAGTTGGCCCCCAAAGATCCATAAAAATGCATGACCAGTGACGTCACACACTCACGTGATTTGGTAGCTTTTATTCATCACGCCAGTGCTTGCAGTAGACAGGTACGAAGCTAAAAATGAACCTTGACCTGTTGCGACCAATATTTAGTCGAATATCACTGACGTCACGATACCCAGTGATATTTCACGGAACATGATACACCGCGGCCGTGGGGCCTAAGTGCACTCGTATCAAGTGGTGATTGGTGACGTCACACATTCAGGTGATTCGGTCAAGCTTTTATTCGGCACGCAAATGCTTGCAGCAGACAGGTACGAAAGGTAAAGATGGAATAAGGCCCGTTGCGCCTGATGTTTCATTGAATACCAGCGACGACATATCGTCAGGTGATGCTTTACGGCATTCATTGCACCCAAAAGAGCCCTAAAGCCTCACAACCAGTGACGTCACATATCCAGTCGAATACCAGTGACATCATATCGCTAGCAAAAGCCTTGTAGCCTTCAGTCGGCCCAAAAGAACCCAGATCGATGCAAACCCATTTTCAGTGACGTCACTACGTCGGCTGATACCTAACAGCATTTCTCCATCATGGCAGTACAGGAACCCTGCAGCCAGCGTAGCTCTCTCCCCACCGTCGGCAATACAGGTACCCAAGTAAAAAAAAAGCCCATTAAATACCGGCATGTTCATCACTTTTTTGTTTTGCCTGTTTTGTAAATATTTACATGACCACAATGGAAAAATGTCACAGACACTTTCCTTTAATATTGCATGACTTATTTGGCTGTCAGGTGTACAGGCTCTTTTATGTACATTAGGCTTGCATGTATTTACTAAAATTGCAGCCAATTTTGGTAGATTATCTCTTGGTGTCTGGTTCAGCATCTCAGCTTGTTGCTTGCATTACCTATCAATCACCTGGTGTGTGGTATGTCCAAGAGCAGTGTAAGGTTGAGCTTGGTTAAGAAGCATGCTTTTATGATGAGTTTTAAGGTACATTGGGACCATGGCAAGGCTTGCTGTTGGGATATAATGAGTGTGAACATTTATTATGACAAGGATAATTCATGGCAATGTTTGATGTCAGCACATATCTCCTTATCCTAAAAAATTTATGGTGAGGTTCCAATTGAGCAGCCATTTAAAACAAGATGGTTTCATCTACTCATGCTTGTGTTGTAGCAACATAATTTGTATGGCTGTTCAAAATCTAAATTTAAGTACAATGTACAAGATCAATCAAAGTACCTTACTGGTACAAAGTTCTTAATTGCTTATCCCAATGTTGCCAATTATTCTATATTATCATAGCTTAGCCCTGTGTAGCCCTATGATAATTTGGTAGTATGAGAACATGTATTTATTGTGTGGTATCTGGTGAAGTAACTTATGTATCAAAGTGTGAAAAAGGAATGCTACAGGCATAAAAATATGTCTTCCCTGGGACCACCAGCAACATAGACATTTCTGCCACTTTTGGAGGTGCAGAACATCCTAAAGCAAAAGCTGTGATATTTTACCTGTAAGTGTCCTTGAATGGGCTGAATTGGGGGATAATTGTGCAAGCGTAAGATCCATAGAAGAACATTATCTAGCATCTTCTGATAATTATCCTGCAAGTATCCTCTAGTCATCAAAAATCAGCAGAAGTACCCTAGTACTCCGAGAACAGTCAAGACAAGTTATCAAGGTGTAGTCACCCATGCACCTTCCTGGTACAGACAATGGTTGGAGAATTTTGATAATTGACTAAATTACATGGGCTTGCCCAGTTGTAGAGGATCAAGCTCTGCTCGAATCACATAACCATAGCTCTGCCTAGAGCCTGTGGGGGCATTAAATTATAGACACCAATGTGTGTGTTGTGTATAGAGATCACAACTCGTGGTTACCTGCCTAAAGCCTTCTATAATGTGTAACTTAATGCACTGAGGTGTTGAAAAACAAGTAACAATTTTTGCCAAGTGTCCAGTCTACCTTAGGTAGGAAGATGCATGGATTTATCAAGATTGTTTTGGTAGTGATTTTGTGATAAACCCTTTAAACAGCTCAAGAGAAAATGGTGCCAAGACTCACAGATACTCATACATGGTGTGTCTCACTGCATGGTGATCCAGCTGGAACTATGACTTGTATACACAAGTCGATGTTAGCTCTTAATTGTCTGTATCAATTCAACCCAGCCATGTGCAGCATGGCCTTGTGTGGCCTGGCAATTGTTGGCTGCAAAGACACTGGTTTATGTGATCTAAATGATCTTTGTGATAAAATAAATCTTAACATGATCCAAATAAATATGGCCTCCCAAATACCAACTTCCTAAGTACCAGCAAAGAGAAGGCAGGCATGTCATTCAGTCTGCATGGCAAGTTTCAGTGAGATCTTGTTTAGGCAGGGGTCAGGGGAACAATTGAGATTTGAGGCAGGTTGGAAAATTTTGAGGCAATAATTTTTCAAGTGGGACAACTCATGGTATTTTTGGGCAGCCTATGGTACCTTGGGCATTGGGGGGGGGGGGGGGGTATTGAACTGTGATAGAGATTGGTCATAACTGCAAAATGTGGTAAAGTGCGTAAACAATTGAGCAGTGACAATCCTTAGACCAAAAATGAAATGTGCCACAATTGTCTTAACTGTGTAAAATTTGTCTGAATTGCCACCATGTCATCAGGTCAAATTGTACATGCAGCTGCTCCCACAACTTTTGGGACCAAATATCCACCAGTTGGATTGAAGAAAATCTGACAGAAAGTCTGACAGAAATTATTTTGCATGTATAAAGTTTTTTGCTCATGGCAGCTTGCTCTACATCCACTAAATGATGCACCAGCCATTGGCCAACAGTGAATTAGCCATTGAGCAGCAGCACACCAGATAGCCCACTCAGCATGGTGGCTCAGAAACCATGAACTTTTATCATTTGGGTTGGGAAATGTGTGTGTGTATGAAGGCCATAAATGCATTTTGTAGAGTAAAGATGTAGCACAAGATGTTAGATAGCAAACTTTGACTTCTTTGAAACATTACAAACATTACAAACATTACAAACATTGACTTCTCAGAAACAGCAGTAGGGGTTGTTAGAAGTCTGTAGGTGCAGATGCAGATAGACAGTAGGGAAAGCTTGTGGGCTGCCCTCCCTGCACCCTGTCTTGAGAGATATAATTGCCCTCCCCCCCCCCCCCCCCACCCCAAGCAGAGAAGTTTGTTGCAGCATAGGGACCACTATCAGACTTGTCCCTCTCATCTTGTTGGCTGGTCTATCACAGTTTGCATGCTGGTGTATAATAGCTACATGCATGTAGCTTAAATGCTGTTATGTGTTGCCCAACAGAACAGTTTCAATTAAATCTATGAAAACTTGATAAGCAGGAGGCAAGAAACATCCTTTAAATGCTTACTGGTAATGATAACCAGATGTTTTGGTACATATCAGACTAACAAATTCAGCTTTTCTCATCACTTTGTAGTCATCTTAATAATCTATGTGGCTTCCAGTTGATTCTCATTTGAACCATGTGCTCACCACAACACCATCTTTCAGAGAATGGCCCTGCTCTGTATTTCAACAATGACCCTCTGCTGACCTTGGCCGGCGGGAAGATGCGTGAGTCGCACAGTCAGAGATGAGTGATATAAAACTAGATCCAAGATTTCTGGTTAGCTTGAAGAAAGAACCGGAGCAGAGGACCATAGAGGTATGTGAGCCGTGGGCTGTGCTGACCAGTGAGTGATGGGTGGAATTGAGCTGTTTGTGCAAAGGTGGTCAGACTTCACAGGCATCTGTAGAAATGTGCTCTTTGGTGTGTGTAGAAAATTTTGAGGCTATTCAGGGTGCTCTTTGGATTGCTAGGACTGCATTCATTCTGCTGAAGGTATCTTTGTTGTTGGTATAAGTGACATGGTGTTAATTTTGCTGGGTGACTTAGATATGTTACATGCCAGTCACACCTTATGAAGTGTGTCTTTTTAGCTGTGGTTAATGCTATTGCAATTTCTTCTTCATTTGTGCAAGGACTTGGAAAAAGATGTGATGTGTCTGACCCTGTAGCCCATCCATTTGAAGCACCTGTGTCCCAGCCCATCGATGACAGGGTGGTAGTTGCTATACACGCATGCCATTTTTCCTCTCACTGGGGTGACCAGTGGCAGCAGCAGCTCAAGGTCAGATGAGATCAGAGGGTGGAAGGAACCAAGCAAACAGTTGAAGGCAGGAGCATGCAGTAATTACATCTTAACCAAGCATACACCATCCCCAGCTACAATACAATGCAGCTTAAGTTGCATGCAGGATATCTCAGGAATCTTTGTAATATTTTGCTCAAATTGATGGTGGCCTTGAAAGATACCACAAAAAACTAACAATTCATGAAGTGATAATAGGTGGAAATGAATGGAGTGCAATGCAATGAATGAAGTGCAATACAATGAATGAAATGTTACATAAGTGGAGTGAATGGGATGCAATGCAAGCATGCAGATGCAAGGCCTGGGACATTCCTGTTCTTGTCAAAGTCACTCCACAGTCTAGGGGAGAGATGCTGAACTCACAATCGAGCAGTACTGAGCACAAGTCCCTGAGAAGACACATGTGTCTTATTTTTGTGTGTTTTATGTTTTTTGCACAATGTGCGAAAAGGGCCATCTTTTGCATGACCTGTGGAAAAGGTCATTTTTGCATGACATGTGGAAAGGGTCAACTGGAAACTGGCCAGCAAGCAACCAGCAGTGGCCAGCAGCAAGGTGCGACCCAGGCGTACAGGCACGATGCTGCGCCATGTCAAGCTGTCTGCACTCAGGCCCTGTGGGAGGGTGCAGGCAAAAATTTAGTTCAGTTTCACTGTCAGGTTGGATGGTTTCCTGCCTCTCATTGGCCCTGAAGTAATCCAGTAAACACACATGTGATGATTTTTGAAATAATGAAATTTTTAGATGCTGTAATTTGTGCTCCTGCATGGAAAAAGCCAGCACATCATTTTTTTAGATGTGTCACTCAGTTATTAAGTCATTAACATGACATGGTTCACCCTTATGACATGCTTCACAATTTCCATGCCTTACCATTACATTATGCCATGACATTATGTAAGACTAAGTTATTTAATTTCTGTTCATAGTGACATGGAAGAAATGTCCAATGTCTGTGCTCTGGGAAAGCTGTTGTAGGGACAGCACTGTGCACGTATCTTCTATAGCAGTAATGCGATCTCCGTGTCCGTCGTAAGGTATTCTGAAGCAGCCCAACATTTTCGTTTCTCAAGCATTTTGCAAGATCTTTATGCCGTACGCCATATGCCATGCCAGGGATGCAAAGCATGACAACCCAAGATCGCAGGTTGCGTCAGGACTGAGACTGCTACAACTTGGCTATGGTCTTAGTATACTGGCCGCAAGCTCCGCTTAGCAGGCGCCCTGCATCTCAAGCATCCATGCAAAATATTCTTAATAATGTTCTTTCAGAATTCATCTCGGTGGGAGACCCTCCGATAATATAGTGAAGTAGAATGTAAATGTAATTTTGATGAGTGGAAATGAGATGCCACGGTGGGCCTTTAATTTTTCATTTCCGGGGTCCTGCGCACAATGTGCTTGTGTTTGGTGTTGCAGAATTAATTGTCTATGAATGGTTGATAAAAAAGAGGTGTCGGCCACAAGACTGCAATATTTTTACTAGTCCCTTGAACATGTCCGGACTCGGGCAGAATTTTTTTTGACCAGACGTCAAACTTGTCATTTATCTGTACGGGAAGGCTGTGGCCAGTGCAGTCGGCGTGTTTTTTAAACACCAGTATCGTGAATGTGTCTTAGAGGCCTGAGTAAGGAGAGCCTTAGCCTGGCCATGGACCGCACTATATGCTCACGCACCAAGAGCGTGGAGTCCAGAACACTGCCGCGGGGTCCATCGCGGAGTCCAGAGTCCAGTGCCACCCCCTGCAGCCGGCTGCAGAGTCCAGTGTTGAACGGCCGCGTGACGCCGTGCTCACGTGCCGATCGTGACGCCCCCCCCCCCCCTTCCCCCATACAGGACCTGCACACACTGTTCGAGACGCTGCAGGAGTTCGAAGCGCTCTCCAACCTGCGCGAGGCCGCTCTACGATCGCTCTGCAAGGCTATCCGATACGAGCGGCGGGACAAGGACGACATCCTATACTTGTGAGCTGCTGTTCATGGGAGGGGGCCAGACATTGCCACTGTTGCTGAGGCAATGAATGTCACTGACTGTCATTGAGTCACTGAGACACTAGTTTCACTGAGACCATGGCTCACTTAAATACCATTGTCACCGAGTCAATGACCGTCGTTGAGTCAATGACTGTCACTCAGCCACTGACTGTCACTGAGTCACTGGGTCGCACTAAGTCACTGAGTTGCTGACTGTCTTTGAGGCACTGATTGTCATTAACTGACACTGAGTCACTGTATCACACTGAGTCACTGATTTTCATTAAGTCACTGACTGACACTTGAACACTGACAATCAATGAGCAACTGACTCACTGAGGTACTGACTCACTTAGCTACTGACTGACACTGAGTCACTGACTGTCATCGAGTCACGAACGTTTGTTGTCTGTCACTGACACTTGACACCATGGCTGGGGAGGCGACCTCCCATTTGCGAGTCCCTATTGGGGGAGGGTGACAGACACCGTGGTGACATGGGTTTACTGGCGACGACATCTCGTGCTTACGAAGCCCCGTCTGTATCGGGACCGGACGCTGCGATGGGACGCAGCTGGCAAGGTCTGCATGGGGACTGCCCTCTACTCGACTCAGTCAATGGCTGAGAGGCTGGGTCACATGGTGTCACGGTGTTATTATCATGGTCATGGTCGGATATGCGACGATGTCCTGTATTACTGCCAGCCATAGGCTAAAGACTGGGGTTGATGGGAGGGAGAGGGTGGTGGGGAATTAAGTATTGCTCCTGGTCCAGACTGAAGTGATAACCTGCATGTGTAAGCCCTCATGGGGGGGGGGGGGGGTTATGATATCAACCTCACCCTACTTCCGTGATATTGCATATGGTGTAAAATGGGACCTCTCACAATGTGACGCTAGACAAATTTGGCTCGATGCATTTCCATTGTGTTGAATTCTTGAGCGGGACAAAGCTTAACGTGGACGAGTCCGGCCCTGAACCCAAATGACCCAGCGCAACGCGTTGTGTTTCAGCCGCGGCGAGCGGGCGTCATGCTGGTACATTCTCATCTCCGGCTACGTCTTCATTGAGGGCTCCATGTTCTGCCCCGGCTCCAGGTGAGCGGCGCCGGAAGGCGCGAGGTCTTGTGATGGCATCGTTGTGAGGGAAAAGCTGCTGGCTGGGGGAAAAGAGGGGGTTGATGAGCGGTGGGGAGAATTGTTCTTCGCTATCACTCAGTTGGTTAGAGCGCCTGCCTTCCGATACACGAGCCCGTTCATAAAAACCGTGAGGTTGTTGGTGGGTGGCTGTGCACGGAACGTCGACGGTGGTTGTGAGTTAGGGACACCCAGTGATCGTGGTGATGATGGGGATGATGTTTGATGGTTGAGTCTGTGGAATGTGATGAGAGCTGGTATGGATGGTAACGGTGGTTGTCTGTGAATGGCTATGATGATGATGAGATGACCCATGGACCCACACGTGGAGCATGGCAAAGTTCATCCCCCTCCCCTCCCCTCCCGCCCACACCATTATTCTTCCCAAAGCGAGGACCTTGGCAGGACTCTGGATCATTCAATGCCACGACATACACAGGGAACGGTCTTAGCATTGCTTCCCCTCTTTGTCCTGTCCCCCCCCCCCCCTCGCCTTTGTTCGCGGCTCTCGTGGGTCCGCCGACTGAGTTGTGTCGATCGGTGTATCGATGTCGCCGCGGGGTCTCGCTGGAGGGGGGAGGGGGGGGAGGGAGCGATGGAACGTGGCTAGGTGCCGCGTCGAGGAAGGCATACGACGCGCGCTGTGTTGGGCCCTGGACGGCGTGTTTTTCGCGACAGCTCGCGCACGCTGTTGAACGGTGATGTCCTGTGCGTTGTGGTTGCTGAGTGGCTAGGATCTGCGCTGTTCTAATCGGAATGCGTGGAGTTCGATTCCGGCCACGGGAAGTTTTCAACAGAACGGGTTTCTATAGGCCTGGCAAAGGACGTCGTTTGCAAATGCGAGATAAGTGAGTGGAAAGCCGCACAGTGGCGCCAGTGCCAGTCACCGAAATGACACACATGTTCTGGTGGCGTGTTCCCGTGCCATGTCTGATCGACGCTTTACGTATGTGCGTGTGTGCGTGTGTTCGTGATGTCATCGCCGTGGTCTCGTGTTTCAGTTTCGGTAAGCGGATCGGGCAGCGTGTCAACGACTGCGTCATCCTGGAGCCGGCTGAGATGATTGTGGTGAGTGGAGCGCCGCTGGCGCCGGTCCTGCGGGCCTCGTCGCCCTGGCGGTGCGGACCGCCAGGGTGTTTGTGGCGAGTGGGTTGGTGTTCGAAAGGACTTGTGGCTGGGGGTGGCCGGCAAAGGGATTTCCCGTGCCTTGCTTTGTGGGATGGATGACAGTCAAGATTGCATGTCGGTTTCTGTAAGGTCTATCAAGTATAGGGTTCGTGAAGGAGCATGTCGCCATCGGACAGCATAGCAGGAGGGTGTGTGCGTGGAAGGACCATCTCCGTTGTGTGCCTGTGCTGGCCTCGAGTTAGAAGTACTATGGGTGCTGTATGACCTCTTGCAGTATGTGCGCCTGAAAACCCCCAATTTATCGTCGAGCGATAAGCTACTAACGACGTGGTTTCGGCTCCTTCAGAAATAATTTGGAGAGGGGGAACTCAATGCGGCTGCTTCCTTGACCTCGTAGCAACGTAAATTTTGGGCACCAAATGACCACTGTAGTCGGCGCGCTCGCAAACCCCAATTAACAACAGCAACACACCATAAACTTTCTGTGTGGCCGTATCACACCGACCTGAGACTGCACTAGCTCTTACCTCTTAGGTATGGGCTAATCGACAACTGGCTCGTTGCGTGTCCTGTGCCTTGATGTACAACGGTCCTGTTGGCGTTGTCGTTGAGGTGGTGCACTGTTTCTCTGGTGATTGATTTGTTGGTGGTGATTGATCTGGTGGTGGCGGTGGTGGTGATCTGGTGGTGATGCACTTCTGGTACGGGAGGCGTAGCGTTTGATTCTATCGGGTGATAGCTCCTTGACAGGTCTGTGTGACGTCACTAGAGCCTGTGCTGCACTGAACGGTGTGGAGATGTCTGCAGTGTGTTGTGGTTATCCTCCCGACCTCGCCCATTGGCGGGTCTGTGTGACGTCACTAGAGCTTGTGCTGCACTGAACGGTGTGGAGACGTGTACTCTGCGCTGTGGTTGTTCTCCCGGCCTCGCCCATTGGCTCGCACACTTGCGTTCGTGGGTCGACTGCAGCTGTCTCCTCTCTCCAGTACAGCATGCGGTGGTTCATGGCAGTGAAGCGGGCGTGTGGTTACTGGGCGGTAGCCAGACGTGGTTCGTGCCATGCTGTCGGGTATCGTAATGCATGAAACAAGGGGTATTTGTTGACGGAAGCGATGTTCTGAGTCGTGAACGATTTGGGCGGCTTGAGGCCAAGAAGGTGCTCAGAGGAGTCAGAAGCTCTAAACGAACTAACATAGATAGGACAGTAGTTATAGCCTTATCCATCTGAGAAAGGCCAGGAGAATGGATTTATAGATGCGTTGATGTTTCAGCAACATGCCTCTATCGAAACAATAGACTTCTGCTATTTGTTTCGACAAAGGCGTGTTGCCGAAATTTCAACGCGTCTTTGTCTCCATTCTCTTGGTTTTCTGCGAGGAATAAGGCTTTTGCTACCGTCTTATCTATGCGAATAATGTTCCTCGCAAATGCACGTGACAACGTACGTAGTTTCAGACGAACTAACCACTCATTTCATGACCCTGTGACAAGTTGATGCAAATAAGATTATTTTTAAACTTGCGCTAGATTTTGGAGGACGCGCGTTAGGCACACGGCTGCGCTGGCCAACGATGCCGTCAGTGAACCTACGTTCATGGGAATCAGTTTTGCGCGTCGGCGCCGCATGTTGACCACCCGTTCCCCATCGGCATACCGTGTGCCGCAGATCGGTCACCAGGAGACTGTAGTGACGTACGTGCCGTGTCCCTCAGATCGACTACCGGGACACTGTTGTGACGTACGTGCCGTGTCCGCAGATCGGTCACCAGGAAACTGTAGTGACGTACGTGCCGTGTCCCTCAGATCGACTACCGGGACACTGTTGTGACGTACGTGCCGTGTCCGCAGATCGGTCACCAGGAGACTGTAGTGACGTACGTGCCGTGTCCCTCAGATCGACTACCCAGACAGCAATTTGATGTACGGCGGCCGGCGTCGCTCGTGTACGGCGGCTAACCTGGAGCGTCTGCTGGCGCTGGAGCAGGAGGAGGTCAGCATCCACTCACGGCTGGCCAGTCTGGACGACCCGCAGGTGCGTGGCCGCGTGGCGGGTGGGGTGGGACGGAAATCGGAGGGTTGGGGTTCTGTTCCCGCTGCGGGAAGTTTTTCACTGATGCGGGATCATGCGATGGTGCGGCGTCGGTCACACGTGGATGAAAGTGAGTTTGTTACTTTAAGTAGCAGCCTTATTAGCATTAATTGGTGAAGCTGTCCCACTCTCGTGACGCATGCGGTGTTCGTCCCCCAGCCACCGCTGTAGCAGGTCTGACCGCCTGCCCCCTCCCTGCCCATCGGGTGGAGGGGGAGCTGTTCTGACCGCCCCGGACCGTCTGGCCGCTGTCCTGACTGTCGCCCGCTCCGCCAGGTGCTGGTGAACAACATGCACCTGCTGTCGCTGTACAAGAACACCGGCTCTCGCTGCTCGTCCGACACCAGCTCCGCCTACAGCGGCTCCGACACCATGCAGTCGCTACAGGTGGGACTGGTGGGACTGGGACTGGGATCAGAACTGGGACCGGGACGCGCGCTTGCAGCGTGGCGTCAGGCGAGACGAGTCACCGCCTCTAGTTCAGACGTGGTGTAGTAACTGAGGCTTCCCCTTGGCAAAGCAGTCATCGCCCTTTCTGTTTCTGCCATAGCTCAGTGAGGCTCCATGTCATTCACGCGTAGCAACACAGACTGCAATTCCTATGATCGGAAATTTTGATGTCAGGACGCCCGTACATGTTATTTTGTGGGGCAAAGGATGGTAAACGAAGTCAACACAGACAAGGTTGTACCTATCCTTGACGGACCTCGCCGAAGACCGTGCGGTGTGTCCGTGTGCCGACACGGTCCGGTGCCGGGCCGACCCGGTCTGAGGTGTGTTGCTCGCGCCGTCGTCAGTCGAGTATCGACCCCACGGAGGACGTGGACCTGACGGGCCTCATCGAGACCACCGTCGACTCGGACGAGGACGAGGAGGACATGATGGCCACCATGGACTCCATCACGGCCAGGTGCGGCTCGATGAGGAGGAGCGTGATGATGGGTTGATGGTTGATGACGGGGTGATGATGTATTTTTGCGAATGGTGACTGGGGTGGTTATTATTTGTGTTGATCAACGACGATATGACGGTTGTACTTTAGTTCTCCATATCCTGATCAAGATGATGGCAACTTTTGTTGGCCATGAATAGCCAGTTGTTTTGTTGATTAACGACGATATGACTTGCTTTGTGGTACGCATTATGATGAGGACGATAATTAACCGCAAAATGATGATATTGCGTGTTTTTTTTTTTTGGTGTGATGATCAAGGTGATAATCGTGTTTCAAGTGTGGTGATAGCACGGTAGTCATACCTCTGGTGTCGCACGCGCTGCAGAAATGTGCCCACCTCTGAAGCAGACGTTCAAACCAACAACCAACATCACCACATCTACGACTCACGTGGTGCGTACCGCTATCGTGGGTGCCACCCTCGGACGCCGTGCGCGCCGCTTATCACCGCTGTGACGGCAGTATTAGCCTGGCGCGCCCGGCGTCGTGACGCATTGTAACGCGTTGTCCGCGCCGCCGCGCAGGGACGCCGTGCGCGACTGTCTGGAGACGGACCCGGCCAACCGCACGGACGAGGACGTGGAGATCCTGCTGGAGTTCACGCAGCACCTGCGCGCCTTCAGTAACATGACGCTGAGTGTGCGGCGCGCGCTCTGCAGTGTCATGGTACGGCCGCCTGCCGAGACTTTCGTCGCCGTCGTGACCGACTCCAGACCTTCCTTCTACCTACAGACCTCCCTCCGCCGCCGTGACGGCCTCCCTCCGCCGCCGCCGTGACGGCCTCCCTCCGCCGCCGTGACGGCCTCCCTCCGCCGCCGTGACGGCCTCCCTCCGCCGCCGCCGTGACGGCCTCCCTCCGCCGCCGTGACGGCCTCTCTCCGCCGCCGCCGTGGCGGTCTCCCCTCTCCACCGTGACGGCCTCCCTCCGCCGCCGTGACGGCCTGCCTCCGCTGTCGTGACGGCCTCCCTCCGCCGCCGTCCGCCACCGTGACGGCCTCCCTCTGCCGCCGTGACGGCCTCCCTCCGCCGCCGCCGTGGCGGTCTCCCCTCTCCACCGTGGCGGCCTCCCTCCGCCGCCGTGACGGCCTCCCTCTGCCGCCGCCGTAGCGGCCTCCCCTCTCCACCGTGACGGCCTCCCTCCGCCACCTTTTCTTCGCTGGCTTGACCGACGGATAGGTGGTGCTGGGCGCAGATGAGCACCACGTAGTGTTGGTGCTGTTGCGTCACCAAAGCACCAATATGCAAATGGCACGGGACGATTCATGGTGGGATAAATTGGGGGGTGGAATGGGAAGGTGTGTGGGTGGTGTGTGCAAACTGACCTGCCGCAGTGTGCACGTGGCATTTTTACGTTCGTCGACGGCTTTTCTGGCATCCGTTTGGTGCGCCGCTGCCATCATGACAGGCCGGCGTGGGCGTGTCGTAAAACTCCAATCATCATCATATTACGACAGCTTAAACCGCGCAAAATCCGTTCCAACGTTCAACTCCGTGACCTGTACGTGTGTCGGTGCGCCCGGGGACACGTCGTCACCACCACCGCCGCCGCCGCCGCCTGCACCTGCCGTGTGCCCTCCGCCCCCGTGCTGCGTGTGACGCCTCCTCGGCCGAGTCGTCGCTCTCACTCTGCCCGCCGGCGCGACCGCCAGGTGTTCGCGGTGGTGCAGAAGGCCGGTACGACGGTCATGCAGGACGGCGAGGAGCTCGACTCGTGGTCGGTGATCGTCAACGGCCAGGTGGAGATCAGCGGCCCCGGTCTGCCCAGCACCGAGCTCGGCCTCGGGGACAGGTGAGCGCTGAGGGAGATGGTGGCCAGCGGCCCCGGTCTGCCCAGCACCGGGCTCGGCCCTGGGGACAGGTGAGCGCTGAGGGTGATGGTGGCCAGCGGCCCCGGTCTGCCCAGCACCGGGCTCGGCCCTGGGGACAGGTGAGCGCTGAGGGTGATGGTGGCCAGCGGCCCCGGTGTGCCCAGCACCGGGCTCGGCCCTGGGGACAGGTGAGTGCTGGTGGTGTGATGCTGGCGGCATTGTTCGTTTCGCCAGGCTCTGGCGCAGTGGTGTAAGATGGCACTCCCGTGGGTATTCATTGCTTGCTGTTCGTTGGATTATGTTAGTGAGTGGTTGTAAATGTAACATTGATGCAAAACACAGCCGAGGAAAATTATGGTATTGATGGTAGGCATTTTATTGAGTTGCTAAGAAATGTTACGCTTTCCCTGATGCCACGATGATAATTGTTATGGTAATTGCGATAAGCCGATGTGGCGTCACTGGTGCTGCTGGGCGTGACGACGCTGACGATGGCACCCCGCCTTCTGTCCCTGTCCAGCGTGTGTGACCCGGCCCTCGGTCCCTGTCCAGCGTGTGTGACCCGGCCCTCTGTCACTTTCCAGCGTGTGTGACCCGGCACTCGGTCCCTGTCCAGCGTGTGTGACCCGGCCCTCTGTCACTTTCCAGCGTGTGTGACCCGGCCCTCTGTCCCTGTCCAGCGTGTGTGACCCGGCCCTCTGTCCCTGTCCAGCGTGTGTGACCCGGCCCTCTGTCCCTGTCCAGCGTGTGTGACCCGGTTTCGGTCCCTATCCAGCGTGTGTGACCCGGCCCTCTGTCCCTGTCCAGCGGGTGTGACCTGTCTAGCTTGTGTGTGTGACCCAGCCCTCTGTCCCTGTCCAGCGGGTGTGACTCGGCCCTCTGTCCCTGTCCAGCGGGTGTGACCCGGCCCTCTGTCCCTGTCCAGCGGGTGTGACCCGGCCCTCTGTCCCTGTCCAGCGGGTGTGATCCGGCCCTCTGTCCCTGTCCAGCGGGTGTGACCCGGCCCTCTGTCCCTGTCCAGCGGGTGTGACCCGGCCCTCTGTCCCTAACCAGCGTGTGTGACTCCGCCCTCTGTCCCTGTCCAGCGGGTGTGACCCGGCCCTCTGTCCCTGTCCCAGCTTGCGTGACCCCGCCGCTCTGCCCGGCAGCTTCGGCATCACGCCCACCATGGAGAAGCTGTACCATCGCGGCGTGATGCGTACCAAGTGCGACGACTGTCAGTTCGTCTGCATCACCCAGACCGACTACTACCGCATACTACACCAGGTCAGACGGGTGACGTCACGGCGCCGCGGCTGGCCGCTCCGCTGTTGGGCGACGTGGTAGTGTTGTGGGGAGCAGTTTTACCAAATGACGATGATGTGTTCTGTGACATGGGTGTTGTTTCGTGTATTTATCCGGCTCGGTAAATCAGCGTGTTTTTCATATAAATTACGATACTGTGCCTCTATTTGTGCTAGCAGTTTCGTCTTGAGATCTTGAGTCGGAACAGTTACTTATGGCTTTAAAGTTGTGCTTCATGCCATTTTAGGCCCCTCCGCGTGCAATGCCCCGAAGGTTTGTGTCAAAATGTAGACACGTTTTGTAAGGGCGCTTGCCCCTTCGGAAATTCCAAAGCTTCCGTCACGCCCCGCTGCTTCGACAACCCGGGGCGTTTCGTTCAGAGGGAGCTTGCCAGGCCGAAGATGCAGGCCTTTAATCGCCTCGATGTTCAGCTCTGGCGGAGGGACTCGTATCTATGCGCACCCCCGACAGATGTCTCTGGCCTGCTCCTGCTCCTGCTCCTGCGCATCGGTGCAGGACGACTGATGTATCCGTGCCTGTCGGGTGGTTGCTGCTGGTGGCCCCGTTGGTATATGCTGCGAGCCGGGTTTCGTGCCGTGTCTAGTTTCTGGCCGCCGGGAGGCTCGAAACGTCAGCAGTGTATGTTTACTCACGGCTGATGATTTTGAGGGAAGTTGGGGCGAAGGACAGGAGATCTGTGGTCACTAATCAACCAGCGACAATGCTGGCGATTTTCTGTCGGAAATTGGCGATGTTGATGGTTTGAAACCTGGCAACCCTGGTACGCGGCCGCGTTTCTGCGCGCCGCCGCGCTAACCACGGCCGCCGCCGCCGGCAGGGGGAGGAGAACACGCGACGCCACGAGGAGAACGGCGAGGTGGTGCTCGTGACGGAGCACCGCATACTGGACGCCGGCTCGGCCAAGGGGCACTGCGTCATCAAGGTACGGTCACCGCATACTGGACGCCGGCTCGGCCAAGGGGCACTGCGTCATCAAGGTACGGTCACCGCATACTGGACGCCGGCTCGGCCAAGGGGCACTGCGTCATCAAGGTACGGTCCGGACGGCGGCAGAGGCCTCTCCTGACGCTGCCGACGGCGCTACGGTGCGGCGGTGAAACTGGCGACTTTCTGCGCCAACTTGGCGATAAGTGTCGGTAAGAATCTTGCAGCACGTCATCTTAGTGCCGTGTTTTCTGTGGCTATTCTGGCTCGCCTTCTTCGAGTTAGATGTTCGCAGTCCTTGCAGATGATGGAAAGCCTCTAAAGTTATAAAGTAGTGAAGCAATAGTTGCCTTACGCCGACTGGCGCTGGCCGCCACACTGCTGCTGGTGTGAGCTCGCTCTGAGGCACCGAGCACGGGGCCTCACTGCACCCGCGTGGTTCTGTTGCGCGTCAGCAACGCTCACGCTCTCGTCAGGGGTTACATTGTCAGGCGTTATCAAACTGTGATGACGTCATTCGTGGAGGTGACGTCACCGGGGTGTATCGACATGGATGGAACGTGGCGCTGTCATGGCGCGGTGATGGAAGGGGCGGGAGGAACACTATGTTAGTGTAGGTGGTGTGAGCCCTGGCCGCCAGCGAAGTGCTGCGGTGACGCCGTCGCTTAATGGGTGGTTGTTATGTGTGTCGTGGCCTTTGACGTGTTCGCCATCGGCATCACCTGTGATTGCCATCTTCATTGCCTCCATCACGATTACAGTATTACGGTACACCGTCGTCGCCATCATGAGCACTGTCTTCGTCACCATCATCAATATTATCATCCCCACCATCATCACTGCCATCATCATCACCATCACTTGCATCATCATCACCACCATCATCATGACCATCACCGTACCACGCGGCAGGGCACGCCGGAGCGGCTGATGACGCAGCTGATGGAGGAGAACTCGCTGATCGACCCGTACTACGTGGAGGACTTCCTGCTGATCCGGCGGATCTTCCTGCCGCAGGCCAGCGCCCTCTCCGGCCAGCTGATGCAGTGGTGTGTGCGGACGTTAGCTGACTGACTGTTGATGGCGGAGCTGACCGCAGCGACGGCGCGTTGATGTGTGTGAAGGCGGGGGCGGGGCTGACCGTGTGTTTGATGTGTCTGTCTGTGGTGTGTGGGGCGCCGCCCCGCTACGAGTGGAATGTTCCGGCAATAGCTGTCGCCTGGCGTGAGGGCGTGGTCTAGGGAATGACCTCGCCCTCCCCCTCCAACGACATTAACCCCCAAGTCTGTGACCTCACATGGCGTTGAATCCTGAAGGAGCCAGGGTTTGTGACTCGGAGTGTTAATCTGCCTTGGACCCGCGTGACCTTGACCCCCGGGCGATGCTAGCTTCATTGATTCCGAGTGCCGGGACTGCTTGACTCCGTGTGACCTTGACTCCCGATGATGCCAGGTTCACTGACCCGTAGTGCTGGGATCACTTGACCCCGTCTGGCCGTGGCGCCCGGCGGCTTCAGAGTCAGTGACCCCGTGTGACCTTAACCCCATGTGACATTGACGCCCGGAGGCTTCAGGTTCAGTGACCCCGTGTGACCCCGACCCCCAGGTTTCGTGACCCCGAGTACCGGGACCGGGTGACCCGTGTCGTGCTACAGTGGGTCAACAGCCACTTCATCGACTTCGAGACGGACCCGGCCATGATGGACTTCCTGGAGCGCTTCGAGCTCTGCCTCGAGTCGAACAAGATGCATGGCCAGGTGGGGAGCACAACCGCCGGCGGGGTGTGGGGGGGGGGGGAGGGTGGGGGCGGAGGGCGCCGGTTGGGAACGAGGGTGGGTGGGACTGCCAGACGCTTTCGTGGGCAGCTGTATAACAACGTGATGTAACGATGGGATAAGATATTCCTTTGCTGTGATGGTATCGTCTTGAGTGGGCGTGAAGGTTTGTTGTCGGAAACGCTGTGACTTCTGGCTTGGTGACGCACCCTGAACTGGTGATATGGATAGCCAAGCTTTTATCAGGGCCGGCAAGTCCGTTGCAGTGAGCGTGTGCCACATCGTTCCGTACGCATCACGTCCGCTGGCATGGGCAGCTTCCGTCACGGGTGTTTACTACTAAGCACCACACAACGCAAGCTCGTGACATTCCCAGACTCACGCCGATTTCCCAAAATTGTCTCGAGGAGTGACGCTTTTGCACGTCGACGTAGGTGCCATGCAACCCTATCAGCAATCTGTATCGGCGTCTGATGTCGTCGGCATGGCGCTACCATAGATTGGCTTATCTATGATCTGTCGTCTCATTCTGAGGCGCGGCGCATGCTCGTCTTCCCACGCCGTCGCTGCCAATAGTTGCCCATAGCTGGGCAGCCGCCACCAGCCGGCCCACGCCACCATAACTCGCGCCCACGCTGCGCAGCTGGGCCTGCTGAACTTCGAGTGCGCCGCCAAGTCGCGCGTGCGCGTGGTGACGCTGGCGCGGCCCAACCGCGACGAGCCGCTGCCGTTCTGCCTGCTGGGCGGCTACGAGCGCAATTTCGGCATCTTTGTCACCAAGGTGGAAAAGGGCAGCAAGGCCGAGGACATCGGCCTGAAGCGGGGCGATCAGATCCTCGAGGTAAGCGGTGTGCGGTCGGACCGCGGGCGCGGGGGCGGGGGTGCAGGCCGTGGGGAACGCTGAGTGTGTGTGGGGAGGGGGGGGGGGGGAGATGGACGGAGGTGCGGGATGTCTTCCACGGTACGCGGGGTGGTGCTGTGGGCGAGGACGTATCCGTCCTCAGAGCTACGTAAGGCCTAGCTGATGGCCGGGAGCGGCTCTCTTCAATGGGACCGGCTAGTGTGTGCCGGACGTGTTGGGTTGGCTTCGAATCGACTTGAGTCTTACCTGTGGTTGGTTCTGGCTAGCTGTGCGACGACCTGTGGTTCTGTTTCCTCTTACGATCTGAGCCTCATAAGGGGTGTAGATAGTGTGATGCTTGATGCGTCTGCATAACTACTCTACACTACTCGTCTGGCACACCAGAGGTACGGGGTTCGATTCCCCGCGGTGTCCGCCCTTCCTGGCAGTGTGAGAGGCAGGCGACGCTAGATAGGCTCAGCAGCTGAATGCGTCGTTAAGTCGCAATGACGACGACGGCTTCAGCCTCTTGAGTTGACCGTGTCTCCAGCGTCCTTCGTCTCCGTGCTACCAGCAGCTTCCGATCCTCCAGCCGAGTGGCTCTCCCCAGCCCAGTCGTCGTCAGCCTCTCCCGTCTTCTCCAAGCGCATCCGCTCCTCCCCGCACCACCCGCCGCCGGCCTGACCGACGGCCGGCGCCGCGTCGGCGCGCGCCTGCCCCGGCCGTCCTCGCCGTCCGCTTATGGCGCCGCCGCCGCCCGGCCGTCCCCAGGTGAACGGCCAGAGCTTCGAGCACATCTCGCACCCGCGCGCGCTGGAGGTGCTGCGCGGCACCACCCACCTCAGCATCACCGTCAAGAGCAACCTACTGGGTGAGTGACGCCAGCGGCGACGGCGGCGGCGTCCGCCGGACGGCACCGGCTTCGGTCGCCGGCCCGGCGTGGCTCGGGTCGGGGGCCGGCCGCGGTGGTGCGCCGCCGAACCGCGCTCGCGAACGGATGGTGCGCTAGGACGGGCGCTGAAAAGGCGACCCCCGGTTTGAGGATTGTTTAACACGCGTGCAAGGCGCCCGTGGCTGTTGCATGGCATTGGCTGCACACCCGTGCGCTAAAACATAGAAGGTAGGCCTCATCTCATCTCCCAGTGCTTTTGTGCGGGGAAGAGACGAGTTCGCCTTTGAGTGGGGGATTCAGGGGATTTCGCGGAGTTCCAGTTATCTGACGGTGTAGGGACCACGCGGCGGGCTTCGGCTTTCAAGCCAAGCCCTCGAGCTTGACCGCGCGGACCAGGCCGGTGTTGCCGCGCCTGCCCGCCGTGTGTCGTCGCCGCGCTGACCGAGCGCCGCCCCCGGTGCGCCGCCGCTGCCGCAGCGTTCAAGGAGATGCTGCAGACGCCCGAGGACGCCGTGCGGCCGCGCCAGCGCAAGGGCTCCGAGATCGCCGGCCTCAACCACTACCCGCGGGCCGCGGCTGGCCGGGCCGCACGCGGCCGGCGCACCGCCGCCGCCCGCCGAACACGGTACGGCGCCAGTGGGCAGCGCCGCCTGTTGGTCGCCGGCTGGGCTCTAAGGCCTTCTGATTGTAGATTGTAAATTACGTGGGGTTAGGTCAGGTTAGATTGGTAGACAGTTCTCAGGTAAGATTAATAGACAGTTATCAGACTAGATTAGCGTGCGTGATTAGATAACAAGTATTTTATGTATCAGCAGTAGATTGTACAAGAGAGCAGCAGTAGATTTTATTAGATTAGCGGCTGATTATACAAGATTGGTAGGAGGATATGTAATATTTCTGATAAATTGCATAAGCCTGGTAGTACATTACATTCTAGTATCTTGACTATTATATATTAACATTGCAGTCTGAATTGTATGGTGCCCATGCGCCCCAGATAGACGCAGTTATTGACCGTGGCTTGTTAGAATGGGAGAAGCTTAACAGTATTCGATAGGGCAAGCAGACGTATTGTAACACGTGTCTGAAGAATTGTGTCCTGCAGCTATACATCCGGCATTGCCTTTACCACATTGTGTTGTCTTGTTTTGAATCTTGGGATGCTGCTGTACATTACATGGGTCTCTTTTGTCTGTGCCAAGCGCGTCGCGTCCCCAGCGTTCTCCGTCGATGACCGTCGGACACCTTGGCCATGTGATCCACCCCCTGTCTGGACCAGACGTAGCAGACCTTGACCACGACCACACCACATCTGGCAGTGAGTAGGAGCATGTGCTCACTGACCACATCCAGCAGACCCTGGCTGGATCCTGACTTGACCTGGCAGACCCTGGTCATAGCTGCCAGGGTTTCAACGTGCTCAGCAGACCCCGACCACACCCACCAGATCCTGGCCAGATCCTGACCTGACCCGGCAGACCCTGGCTATAGCCACCAGGCTCTGAACAGGCCCATCAGACCGTGACCACACCCACCAAACCCTAGCTGGATTCTGACCTGACCCAGCAGACCCTGACCATGGCCATCAGACCCTGATCACACCCAGTAGACCATGACCGCACCGAGCAGACCCTGGCCGGATCCTGACCAACTATCAGACCCTGATCAGACCACCAACACTCCAGGCCTGTGGACGCTCCCCAGTGTCCCTGACCATGTAGCCCTCATCCGCCCTCGACGCTCGACCCTCGACCCTCGACGCTCGACGCTCGACCCTCGACCCTCGACGCTCGACCCTCGACCCTCGACCCGTCGCCTGGCCGTCTGACCTGACCCCGCTGCGCGGCAGACACGGCCCAGAAGGACAAGAAGGAGGTGATCCACCGCACGTTCGCCACGCTCGGTCTGCGCACCATCAAGTTCCGGAAGGCGCTCATCAAGGCTATCACGCACAAGACACCTCTGTGAGTGGGCCGGAGAAGCGGGCGGGGGCGGGGCGGTGAGGGGCAGGCCGGCGGCCGGGGGCGCCGACAGACCCTGCACCGTTGGAGGTCTGTGGCCCAGGTCCGGGGCCTGACCGCCGGTCTGTGGCCTCCTCGGTGGTCTGGCCGGCCCGCGGGATCGCCGCTGAAGGCGTGGACACGGTCGTCCCGGGACGACTGGAGGTGTGGCGGTGCGAGGCGCGACTGGCGTGTGTCTGCTGTGGAGGTGTTTGTTGTGCTGCCGTGCAGCCGCTGGCTGGGGGGGCGGCGCGGTGGTCGCCAGCGGGACGGGACCGCGACGCACCGCGCTCCGCCGCCAGCGCGGGCCGAGCTAGTCACGGACTTCACGGGCGCGCCACTGATGCACAGAGTGGTGCCAGTGCTGCCACGTTGACCACTGCTTTCTTGTGCCGTTGTACATTGGCTCACCACTGGTGCTGTTTTTGTTCAGCACTTCACCGATGGCAACGGTGGCCATCTCGGTCGCGCGTGCCACAGTCATTATTGGGTAGTGCTATTTCATCCAGCGGCACCACTGGTGCCATTTCACCTCAGTTCGCCACCAGTGTCGCTTCGCCTCAGCGCACCACTGGTGACGTTTCACATGGCACTGTTGGTGCTATTTCACTGCCGCACTTCTGGTGCCATTTCACCTCAGTGCGCCGCCGGTGCCATTTCACCTCAGTGCGCCGCCGGTGCCATTTCACCTCAGTGCGCCGCCGGTGCCATTTCACCTCAGTGCGCCGCCGGTGCCATTTCACCTCAGTGCGCCACTGGTGCCATTTCACCTCAGTGCGCCGCCGGTGCCATTTCACATCTGCACCGCTGGTACCGTCTCACGTCAGCTCACCACTGGTGCCGTTTCAGCCAAGCGCACCACTCCGATGACGCGCTGGTGCCGGGCGGCGCGGCCGAGCCGGGCTCGGGCGCCATGTACCACTCGCACAGCAACCCGGACCTCAGCCAGCTCAGCTACGACGAGTGGAAGTTTGACTACCCGGAGCACGTGCTCAAGGTGTACAAGGCCGACCAGAGCTGCAAGTACCTGCTCGTGCACAAGGTTAGTGGCGCGGCGTGAGCGGGAGCGAGTGCGCTGCTGCTTTTGGGGCCCGTGAAGTGACGTGATTTGGCTGTGTGGTTTTATGAATGGATCTGGTAACTGTTACTTGATTAGTGGTAACACGCGCTGAAGTACAGACATGTTATACGTCGGGGAAGTTGAAGTTAATTTGAGGTAAAGACGTTTGCATTTTTAGATTGAAAGACAAATGATGGGGCTGTTTTGCCGCAAGTTGTTGTTAGCGGCAGTGCCGTGCGCATGCTCGACTGCTGTCCGCCCTGGTGTCCGGCTGTTCGAATTCAGTAATGGTGCTATCATTAAACCTGTGCTCTCTCCATGACGAATTTGGCGGTTGATTGAAGATGGCGTTCATCCATCGATTATTGAGAATTCCACGTTTTAACACGACGTTGCAGTGCCAGATCTCATATTCTAGCGTTGGATCTAAGGCGCCGCACGCCAAAAGTGACGCAGAAATGTCATCGGCATCCCCAAATGTTCCGCGAAGTTCTCTGGCCTGCCGCGGCCGCAGCCCGCGTCCGGCGCGAGCCACCGCTGCCGTCCGGCCGTTGTCAGCGTGCTCTGAGGGACGGCCTGACACCGGCTTCCCCCCCCCCTCTCCCTCCCCCGACAGGAGACCACGGCGCGCGAGGTGTGCATGCTGTCGCTGCGCGAGTTCGGCATCACCGACCCGAGCAGCAACTACAGCCTGTGCGAGCTGACGGCCGGCGCCGGCGGCGTGGTCAAGCAGCGCCGCCTGCCCGACCAGATGCAGAACCTGGCCGAACGTATCGCCCTCGGCAGCAGGTGGGCATCCGCGGCGACGGCGGCGGGGAAGCCCCGGGCCGGTGGCGGCGGGAAGCCCCGGGCCGGTGGCGGCGGGAAGCCCCGGGCCGGTGGCGGCGGGAAGCCCCAGGCCGGTGGCGGCGGGAGGCCCTGGCCGGTGGCGGCGCGTAGTGCTGTCGGGACGGAACGGATGAGGGCGTCGGCCCTGACGGTGGAGGGTTAAGGACGATGGCATGGGCGCGAGCTGGCTCGTTACCTAGGAGTGTGTGTGTAGGGGGGGGGGTATGGAGGGGGGAAAGCGTTGTCCCGCGCGCCCGGCGGCGGTGTGGTGTTGGGTGGTGGGGTGAGCGAGTCGCCCTGGGTGGCAGCTGAAGGCGTCGACATCGCCGGCGAGGTGGTGCTGAACCACGGGGGTGTAGACGTACGTGACATACCGCGCACCGTTAAGACAGGCCTGACACACCCCCTTAGTTACGGCGTGTGTGCGACACGCTGCCCTCGGTCGAGACGCGTAATACACCGCGCTCCCTTGGGACATGTGTGACACACCGCCCTCATTTGAGACAGCGTGACATATCGCCCTTAATTGAAACATACGTGCCACAGGTCGACCGGTTCTTCACGCTCCGTTTTATCGACGACTCGTGCGGTGGGCACTAGGTGATACCGCAGTTGAAGCAGTCGAAAGCCTCAACAATGATTCTGGATGATTCTTGGTTTGGTGCGCGTGTTCTCCGCGGCCGCGCGGCGTCCAGCGCCCGTGCCCATGTGCGTGCATGCTCGTGTGGCGTCAGCAGTCCAGAGCGCGCGCGTCGCCTCGGCCGGCAGGTACTACTTGAAGAACAACCAGGTGACGGAGCCGCTGGTGCCGGACGAGCTGGCGGCCGAACTGCCGCGCGAGGGCTCCGTCCACTTCCTGCAGCTCAACGCCCTGGAGGTGGCCGTGCAGGTGAGGCGGAGGGCGCGCCTGGCCGCGAGGAGGCGCTGCTCCGCGGAGGGCGCGCCTGGCCGCGAGGAGGCGCTACTCCTCAGAGGGCGCGCCTGGCCGTAAGGAGGCGCTACTCCTCAGAGGGCGCGCCTGACCAAGAGGGGGTGCTGCTCCGCGGAGGGAGCGCCTGGCAGTGAGGGGTCGCTGCTCCGCGGGGGGAGCGCCTGGCAGTGAGGGGCGCTGCTTCCGCAGAGGGCGCGCCTGGCCGCCAGACAGACGCCGGCCGATGATGAGGCCGGCCGGCGGTGGGACGACGGTTCGCGGTGCCGAGGGCGCGCACGGGGAGCGACGGTGTGGTCCGACGTGCGATGTGAGTGTGTTGTCACCAGTGGAGGGTGCGGTCAACGTGTTGGTGCAGGACGCGAAGTAAATGCAGGTTAGGTGGTGCTCTGTTCAGTGGAAGTTTGCAATCGAAGTATTGGTATGCTACGTTGGATGCGAAGAATAAGGACACGTTTGTGAAGACAGGACGGGCCGAACAGTGCACACCAGGAATGGCATTGCGAGTCGTTCGTGAAAAACACAAAATCGAAATGCACGTATACTATGATGCACGTTAACATGAAATTCTCTAGATTCAGACATCTATCAAAATCGAAATGCTGGTATGTTTTGTGAGATTCCTGACATGAAGACATTTAACGATATGGTGCATCCAACGCGTTGTTCGACGTGCCTCCCCAGAGCAGTGTTGCGACGTGCGCGTGGCTGTGTATTGACCCGAGCCGGGGCCTGACGCCCCGCCCCCGGGCCTGTTTCAGCTGACGCTGGACGACTTCAGCTTGTTCCGTCAGATCGAGGCCACCGAGTACGTGGACGACCTGTTCGTGCTGAAGAGCCGCTACGGCACACCCGGCCTGAAGCATTTCGCCGAGGGCAGAGGAGCGCGCGGCTCCCCCCCCCCCCCTGTGTGACCCTCCCCTTCCCCGGCCTCAGTCCCCCCTTCCCCGGCTGCGTGTTGTCTGGGAGGCGTCAGATAGTCGGGAAAAGAGATCTTGGAACACCCTGGGGGTGTCGCCCTGCGTTTTTTATTTGTTACGCATGAAAGACCGAGTGCCGAATGCCCTTATTCGTGCCATCGAGTGTCCATCAACGTGCTCTGTGTGCGCCGCCGCCTGGCCTTGACCTCTGCCCCCGCCCCGCCCGTGGTCAACAGCTGGTCAACCGTGAGATGTTCTGGGTGATAACTGCCGTCTGCGGCGAGCACAACCTAGTCAAGCGCATGAAGATCGTCAAACAGTTCATCAAGGTGGCACGTGAGTAATCGACGCCGCGCGCCGGCTGGAGAGCCCGCGCCCGCCCTCTTGGCGACGCGCTGAACACTCGCATTGATGCGTGGTTCGTTTGGTGGTCGCTTTTGTTGTGAAACTGAGGTCAGAGTTGGCCTGCAGCGGCTGGTGGCGCTGTGTGGTGATGCTGGGACTGGTTACGCTGTGTGGTGATGCTGGGACTGGTCACGCTGTGTGGTGATGCTGGGACTGGTCACGCCGTGTGGTGATGCTGGGACTGGTGGCGCTGTGGGGTGATGCTGGGAATGGTTACGCTGTGTGGTGATGCTGGGACTGGTCACGCTGTATGGTGATGCTGGGACTGGTTATGCTGTGTGGTGATGCTGGGACTGGTTATGCTGTGTGGTGATGCTGGGACTGGTTACGCTGTGTGGTGATGCTGGGACTGGTCACGCTGTGTGGTGATGTTGGGACTGGTCACGCTGTGTGGTGATGCTGGGACTGGTTACGCTGTGTGGTGATGCTGGGACTGGTTACGCTGTGTGGTGATGCTGGGACTGGTCATGCTGTGTGGTGATGCTGGGACTGGTCACGGCGGGGTCGGTTACGGTGGTGACTGGGTGTCGTTGTCGCCGTCCCCAGGCCACTGCAAGGAGTGCAAGAACTTCAACTCGCTCTTCAACATCGTGTCGGGCCTGAGCCACGGCGCCGTGGGGCGGCTGAAGCAGACTTGGGAAAAGCTGCCGACCAAGTACCAGAAGATGTACAACGACATGCTGGTGCGCATGGGGAGGCTGTACCGCGGGAGGAAGAGGGATGGGAGGCCCAGTCCAGGGGAAAATTGACGTTTCTGAGTGGTGGTGAAGTCTTGGCGGAGGTGGGGGGGGGGGGGGGGGGGGGAGGGCGGGACGCGGCCCACTGAGCCGCGTGCAGCCGCGAGGAGGTAGGGACGTGTGTGGGAGGGGGCGCTGCTGACCCGACCTGATTTGGCCGTCCTGATCTGACCTGACCCGACCTGACCGTTTGCCGTCACCCGCCAGGCGCTGATGGACCCCAGTCGCAATATGTCCAAGTACCGCAACCTCATCACGTCGGAGCACGTGCAGCCGCCGTTGGTGAGTGACGGCGACGGGCGGCGGCGCCGAGCGCTGTGACGTGCTGGACATCTGGATCCGTCGGCTCCGTCAGGGCGTCTGGCTCCGTCGGCTCCGTCAGGGCGTCTGGCTCCGTCGGCTCCGTCAGGGCGGGCCGGCTCCGTCGGCTCCGCCAGGGCGGCCGGCTCCGTCGCTCCGTCAGGGCGGCCGGCTCCGTCGGCTCCGTCAGGGCGTCTGGCTCCGTCGGCTCCGTCAGGGCGGCCGGCTCCGTCGGCTCCGCCAGGGCGGCCGGCTCCGTCGGCTCCGTCAGGGCGGCCGGCTCCGTCGGCTCCGTCAGGGCGTCTGGCTCGGTCGGCTCCCGCTCGTCAGGCAGATAGCGTTTGGCGTTGCATCCTGCCATGTTGACTTATAACGGAGTCGTAAGGTATTACACGCTGTAGACTTAATTGTAACATGAATTATTAGTTGGATATGAAGCACAGGTATGGGTTATAAGTTAAGGAATTGTAAGTTAAGTGTCGCGTAATAGTTTCTAAGTATTGAGCTGCATCGCTACAGCTATTGAGCACCTCAGCGTGTTCTGGACGTGGATTTGGTGGGCGGTTGGGAAAGCACGTCGGCCGTCGTGAGCACGTCCCGCGGTGTTCATCGCCTGGTCCTCTCGTGTCGCCGATGGCCGCTCGTGTGGAGGAATGTCCGCCGCAGCCGTCTCCGACTGACCGTCCGTGCCCCTGGGCGCAGATCCCGTTCTACCCCATTGTCAAGAAGGACCTCACGTTCATCCACCTGGGCAACGACACCTGGGTGGACGGCTTGGTGAACTTCGAGAAGCTTCGCATGATCGCAAAGGAGGTGGGTTAGTGGCACTAGCTGCCCCCCCCCCCCTTCCTGGAATGCCCCGGGGTGATGAGGTCAGGTGCATTTTGCACCTGATTTAGTCAAATGGGCTGGAGCATGGTATGTCATGTTATGTGTAACAAGTTATTATGGCCAAGTTATGTTGTGACAGCATAACGGGCCATAATAACACATAACATGATATAGCTTGGCTATAACAGTGCGTTATTATAACTAAGTTATGTATTATTTGGTTCAGTAGGAGTTTAGTCAGGTGGATTTTTTATTTTCATTTAGCATGGTGTAGTCGAACCATTGGTTGTCAGAGTGCTCCCTGTTCGGCGTTCTGTAAGATCGCCGGGTGCGGTCGCTGCCGGCCACGTGCTCGGTGCAGTACGTACGACACCCGCGTGCTGTATGCCGTGACCGCACCGCATCCGTGCCGCCCCAGGTGCGCTCGCTGTCGGACATGTGCTCGGTGCAGTACGACGCCGGCTCGATGCTGGAGCTGGTGGGCCAGTCGGGCCTCGGCCAGCTGACGCTGACGGCGCAGCGCAGCGCCACCGTTAAGAGGCGGCGCAAGTCGCAGGCCCAGTCGAACCCCAAGAAGATGTTCGAGGAGGTGAGGGCGCGAGACAGACGCGAGACGGACGTAGTGAGCGCGGCGGACGCGGCTGGCCGCCTGCGGGTTGTGTCGGTGCTTCGTTTTTGTGGGTAGCGACGAGAGGACGTGTGATGGGGGGGGGGGGGGTGAATGCGCGGTGTCGGCGTGTCGTTAAGTTGTAGGGGTGTGTTATGGCGTTAAGGGGTGTTCTCTTTCAGGGGGAGGGGGGGCGTTGCCGTCACGAGTGTGCGGCACAGGCTCGCCTTGGCCGGTCAGTGAACCACCCCGGTACATCCCGCCACATCGCTCCGCGTTGTCCCGCGACGATGGCGTCCGCCGCCTGTCCGTGTCGGGTTCAGTCCGTGTCGCGCCGGTGTCACCGCTTGGGTGTGTGTGTGTGTGTGTCTGCAGGCCCAGATGGTGCGGCGCGTGAAGGCGTACCTGGCGCACCTGGCGGTGGTGCAGGACGAGGAGCGCCTGCTGCAGATGTCGCTCGAGTGCGAGCCGCCGCCGGCCGGCTCCTCCACCACCACCACGAGGTGAGCGGCGCCGCGCGAGGAGGCCGGCGCGCGCGTGCGGTGTTCGCGCGCTCGCCGGTGTGGGGGCCGACGGGAGGCGCGGAGACACGAGCGGCGACCATTCAGAGGAACCATAGGTCGCGTCGCGCCACGTCAGGTTTACTACGTGGAACCCTAGCAATGGGTGTAATTTGGCTGCAATAGGGCTGCATGCTACACACGCCCATTGAATAGGTGTTTTGTTATATACCATGCTGTCACGATGCAGTCCATAAGTTGCATGATAGCCCTCACTGTCGTGGTCGTTTACTGAGCCGTCGCCGGGCTCCAAGTGCGTGTGATACGACATGCCAAGTGCGATGTGTCCGCCTCGTTTTTCTTGGCTGGTGAGCTGTCCCAGCGGCGGCGTCGCTCGGGGGCTGCGGTAGCCGTCTGCTGTTTGTGTACCGTGTTGCTGTGTTCCGTGTTGTGTTCCGTGCGGCGGAGCTCGGTCGCCAGGCTGACGATGCCCGGATCACCGGTCGGGGCGTGCCGTCCGACGGTCCGGACACTGCTGACCCTTACCCTGTGACCCTCACCTTGTGACCCTGACCCCGACCCTGACCCCGACCCTGACGGTGTGTGTGTGTGTGCGGCGCAGGCGGCGGCACCCGTCGCCCACGTTGTCGACCACCAGCAGCGCCAGCAGCCAGCGCCGCCAGCGACGGCCGCCGAGACCGGGCCAAGTTCGGTGAGTGCCCCCGCCGCCGGCGCACGAGCGGCGCCTTGGACTAGGACCGGAGCCGGGACCGGGAGTGGGAACCGGATTGGTCCCGGGACCGGGACCGGGACCGGGACGGGACGGAGACCGGGACGGGACGGGACCGGACCGGACCGGACCGGACTGGCCCGGACTGGAATGAATGAACTGAACTGAACTGAACTGAACTGAACTGAACTGAACTGAACTGAACTGAACTGAACCGAACCGAACCGTACCGTACCGTACCGTACCGTACCGGGACCGGGGCGGGTTGATGGGCCATAGCGCGGGCTGGGTGCGAGTTGCGGCGCAGGCACCCTGTTTCGCCCGGGCGTTACTGAAGCAGGTCAGCTGGTGGTTGGCCTGAGAGGGTTGGCCTGGCACTGGCTGGCCGGGCGGTGCGCGAAACAACACCCCAAAACACCCGGTGGGGTAGCCCTGCCTGACTACGAAGACCAGATCGAAATTATCGTCCGCGGTACTCGGATGCCCCCAGCGGGACCGCCCGGCGCTCAGCCCGAGTCTGAGCGCTCTCGGGCAAGCCAGCTCAAATCAACGTCTCGCGATGTTTCGGTGTCTGCGTCGCCGTGTCGTCTGTCGGCCGATGGCGAGACCGCGGCGGCTGCGCTGCGTGGCGGCGTGGGCGGTCAGCGCCGCTGCCGTCGGCGCTCGGGGCGGCCAGGCTACGGCGGATGCGGCGGTTCGAGGTTGTCCACAGCGACCGTTGGGCAGCGTTGTGGTGTGCTGCGTGTTTTGTCACTGCGGCTGGTCACGTTTTGCGCTGCGGCCTTGTGCTTGGGGCGGTGTTGATGTCCAGGTCGTGCTGTCGCTCCGCCCCTGGTACGTCGCACCTTTTCGGCGGTCACTGCGTCCTGTGTTAATTCCTGATACTCCAGTCATTGTCATCGTATGCTCACTGCTGCCGTTGACCCATTTGTTCTGATTGTCTCGTTTTGTTGCCGTCCTCACCCGCCGCGTGTGTGCATTCTGTGATGTGCTCTTGCCGTGTTTCGCTGCCTTCGTTCGCGTCCCTTCTCCTGTCCCCGGCCCCCGTCCCCTGTCCCCCGTCCCCTATCCCCTGTCCCCTGTCCCCTGTCCCCCGTCCCCGTCCCCGTCCCCGTCTCCGTCCCGTCCCCGTCCCCGTCCCCTCGCCTCCTCCCCTCTCGCCCAGCCCCGCCGCGGCTCCGCGCCGTGCCGCGCCTCACCACCTCCGTCCCGCCTCTTCCGTCGGCAGGCGCCGCGTCCCCGAGCGCCGTGCGCAAGCTGATGTCGCTGGCCGAGACGAAGACGCGGCCGCACCAGCCGGCGCCGCGCGCGCCCCACCTGCTGATGGCGGCCGGATCGCCGGCCTCATCGCCGTCGCCGGGGCAGGCGCGCCGGCGCGCCGCCGCAGGTGTGTGCGCGCGCCAGCGGTCCCGCCATCTTGGTGTGCGGGGAGACCGCTGTCGTTTGATGGCTGTCTTCGTTGTCGTGTCGCCGCGAGCGTGGCGGGAGGTGGTCGGTGGGCCGCTGGCGAGGGGTTGCGTTGGCGCGTGGTGGTGACGGGGGGGTGGGTGTCGCTGGTTGGCACGGGGAGGTCGCCGCGCTCGGCGGTGTGGGATGGCCCGCGGCCGGGCCTGCCTATTTCGCAGTAGGCGAGTTCCAGCTGTGTGCAGCGCTTCACCTGTGGCGCTCCGCGGCCGGGCCTGCCTATTTCGCAGTAGGCGAGTTCCAGCTGTGTGCAGCGCTCCTCCCTTCACCTGTGTGCAGCCTTCAGGCCACGTACATAACACAACATACACAACAAACACTGTGTAACTGTGGACCGTTGACCCGTGCGTCGCCGCGTCGACCGTCGCAAACCTGCACACTGCGCGGGCGTGCGCGTCACGCGTACGCCACGTGTCGGCACGTGTCTGACCGAGCGGCGCGCGGCGCGGCAGGCCGCAGCCACGAGCGCTCACAGTCGGACACGCTGCCGGTGGACCTCAGCTCGGAGAGCAGCAGCGTCACCAGCATGCCGCTCCGCAAGACGCACACCAGCGGTATGTACAGCGCCGGCGCTCCGCCGCCGCCGCCTGCGCCGCGCACAGCCAGCCTCGAAGCGCCCGAAAGCGCGCCGATGGCGGCCGCCGCCCCCGGGCTCGGCGTGCCGTGTCGGCCTGTTTCGGAGGGCGGCCGTGGCGGTGTGAGGGAAGGCGGTGTGCGTGGTGTTGAGGACCTGGCGTTGGTTGTTTCTCTGCCGAGGTCGGGAGTGCGGGGACGTTTGCCGAGCATCAGTGGGCCACAGTGGGCCCAACTCACCCTAGAGGTTCATCGTGCCTTCCCCTGTCCCCTTCCCCCAGGCGTCTTTGGCGCGATTTTGCGAAGGAACATCCGTTGTCGTTTCCATTGGTTCGATGCCCGTGCCTCTGCCGTCGTCGGGGTGCATCAGCCCGCCGCCGCTGTCGGGTACACGGACGTCGCTAACGGCCGCTGGCTTGCAGCGAGTTCAGTGGCATCTGGCGACGGCCCGGGCAACGCGAGTTACGGCGCCCACCATTACGAGGCGCCACGGTACGACGCGGCCGGCCCCAGCGGCTTGGAGCTGTTCACCAACTCGCCGATGCGGCACTACATGTACCTGCCCAAGCCTAACGCAGGTCGGTCACAGTCTAGTGTTATATATATATATGTATATATATTATATATATATATATATATATATATTATATATATATGTGTGTGTGTGTGTGTGTGTGTGTGTATTATGTAGGACGTGCGGACCGAGCTGGGGCTGTGTTTGGCTGGCTGCTTGAACGTGATACTCGGAAGCGAGTGCGGGAGGGGTAAGACTGCATTATCACGTGTCCAGCAAAAAGCCTGGGACCGCGACGTCTCAAAGTGCCCTAAACACCAACAGAGGGTTCACAATGCGCTTCAACGCCGCGTGTGTCGGCTGATATACCGCCGATGTTGTTCCTGCACCCAAGCCGTCGGCCTGACGTCCCCCTCTGCCGCAGCCGGACCCCTCCGACCGCCGCCGCCGCCGCCGGGCGGCGCGCCGTTCGCCGCGGCGGCGGCGGTGGCGCGGCCGCGGCCGCCGGCGGTACCGGCCGCGCCGCCGCCGGCGCGCGAGTCCCGCCGCCGCGGCCCGGGCCGCCCGCCGCGCGCACCGCACTCGACCGGCGCGCTGGCCGCCGCCGCCGCCGCCGCGGCAGCCGCGAGGGTGGAGGACTCCGACCAGGACGGTGAGTGGTGCTGAGAAGGTGGCGGGGTGGGCGCTGTGCTGCTGTGCTCTGCGTCAAGCGTTGCTCAACGGATATAGACCGGGACCTAGCCATCAGCTTTCCTGGAAGGTAAGGTGGACGTCAGGTGCGTGGCTCCCTCAGAGTGCGCGAATGGGACGGCTCATACTTGGCCGCCCGCATTTCCGTCAGTGTCGTGTGTCCAGTTTTCGTCGAGGGTATGAGGAGAACATATTCTGGAGTGCAAACTTACAATTGTCGTGCATGCACTCCTAACTCAAAGACGCCAACCTAAAATAGGTGTTCGCCGTTGCGTTTGGTTCTCTCTATCTCCGGCGTCTCCTCTCGTTGCGTACTTGTTTCCGGCTATGAGCCCTTGCCATGGTCCCTCCTATAGCTGGTTGGTCTCTGTGTGTGCTCCGCCCAGCGCACGTGCTCGTCCACACGTGGGGCGGGCGGGCAGCCGCGGTCAGTCCCCCTCCTCTGGCAGCGATGCCGCGTCTCGCGGTCGCCAGTTGACGTCCAGCGTCGGTCGTGCCGTGTCGAGGCCGGCGGCCGCCAGCCTGACCCGACCTGACCTGGCCTGACCTGACCTGACCTGACCTGACCTGACCCGACCTGCGGTGCCGGCAGACGACGACGAGGACCAGGTGTCGGCGGTCTGAGCCAGCGTCCGTGTTGGCGTTGTGCCAAGCCAAAGATAGTACCGCCGCCGCCCCCGCCGCTGTCGCTGCCGCCGCCGCTGCCAGCGCCGTCCCGCCGGCCTGGGGCGTCAGCTAGGACGCGGAGGCGTGCGGGCAGGCGCAGTCTGGCGGGAGACCTGCGAAGCGGCGAGAAGCTTCCGGCGGGCCGGGCGAGGTTCGCGGTAGAGCCGGCAGGCGTCGCCGCGGACGCGCTCCCTGGGGTCGGTGCAGGACGTGCGGCGGCTGACGGTCAGCTGGTGTCGCTGCGGGCGCAGATAGCCGGGGGCCTCAGCTGGAATTTGTAGGGGCCCTGACCCCGGGGACGGCGAGGACCCGACCCGCCTCAGGCCCGTAGAAACCTCCCCCCTGAGTGGGCGGGGGCCGCCGCCGTGACGGTTTGGCGGCCGCTGGCGCCGCTGCCCAGGCCACGGTAGTTGCGCGGCTCGCCGCGTGGCGCCGCCACTGGCGTGTTCGGGCGCGCGGCCGCCGGTGTATTTATTGGAAGATGCCGGCCATCGGGGGGCCGCCTCGGCGCGGTCGGCGCCCTGAACAAGACTGTTGTATCACGCACTCCGCACAGAGCAGTGGAACTCGATATTTTTGTCAAGTATTTTTGTATATTCACGTTTGTTTGCACCAGCGCAATGTTAGCGTAGTCGTATGAGCTGAGCTGGTCAGCCGCAGCCGGACCGAGAGGCGGCGCTGCGGCGCGTTCGCCGCGACGTCGCGCGCGTGACGTTCAGTGTTCCCCCGACAAAAGGCGCCTCGCGCATCCACCGCGGTGACAAGCCAGATCGAACGTACAAATGGTGCCGGGGCGGCCGCGGCGGCGAGCCAGCCTCGCCGCCGCGGTCCACGCTCCGGTTGGGCGACGCTCGCGCGGGGTCGGGCGGCGGGCGCGCGCGCGCTGAGGCGCCGACGCCGTTCTGCGCCAGCGGGATGCGCAGGGCGATGTGCGCTGAGGCGGTGTCCGTCTGGAGGGGCCGTTGCGATGATCGCGGGCCGGGGAGGAAGGATCGGCGCGAGCCCCGGTGCCGGCGGTCGGCGTGTCTGTGAGTCTTCTCTGTGAACTGGTGAGTGCGCCGCGAGCTTTTCGTGAACGGTAGCTCCCCTTTTCAGTCTTCGGTATAGACTGTCTTGCCTTTTTTGAGAGCTTCCTGTGGATTGGCTACCCCTCGTGTGTCTTCTGTGACAAGTCTTGTCCCCTTTTGAGAGGTTTTTATAAAATTGGTGTCCCTCTGTGCCTGCTCTGTACTCTGCCTTGCCCTTTTTAAGAGCTTCCTCCGAACCGCCCCCCCCCCCCGTCCCCTTATGCGTCTGCTCGTTAGCCTATTGCCCCCTCTGAGCGCTTTCTGTGAACCGGTGCCTTGTTTGCTCCCACCCCACCCCACCGCACCCACCCTCATGTTTGGTGCGTACCCCTTCGATGAACTGATCCCTGTTGGTCTTTTTGCGCGGCTCCGGAGCGTCGTGGTCCACTGTGCTTCCCGGGTATCTTCTCAGTGAGAGTTTCTCTGTGAGTCCGTCTGGTGATCGTCCTCCCGTTGACAATGATCTGTTTGTGGGTCGTTATCACGTGTACCGCCGAGAGTGCTGCCTCTGAGATGTCCCTTTCGGCCATGTGAACTTTGAGTCGTCTCTGTGGGCCGGCTCCGTACGTCGTCTCGTGAGCCGTCTCTGTTAGAGGTCTGTTAGTCGTTTCCGTGATGCGACTCCGTGATTCGTCTCCGTGATTCGTCTCTGTGAGTCGTCTCCGTGAGTCGTGTTCTCGAGTCGTCTCCGTGAGCTATCTGTTCCGCTTGTCTCCTCCATGATGCGCACCGCCGAGTTTGCCGCCGGTGCTGACTTGGCGTGCTTTCGGAGCCAAGATCTGAGAGGGGAGAAAGATCTTCCGTCCGGGCCCATATCACAGCCACGGCCGCCGTCGCCGCCGCCGCGTTTTGGACGACTTTTACAGCCTGAGAGCGGCGTGCTACAGTGGCGCCGCGTAGCGTCATTCCGTTACCGTGAGATTAGCGTGAGGGCGGGTTATGTTCAGCTGGTGACGCAAGGTTATGTTCAGCTGGTGACGCGAGGGTGGGTTATGTTCTCCTGGTGACAGGGCGCGCGGGAGGAGAGTGAGAGTCGGTCTCTGTGATGTTGGGTGGAGTGTCACGCGATCGCTGTTGCAATTGCCTATTTGTAGTCCGGTGTTTTGACAATACAGCCAACTGACACCGTGGTGCTTCTGCGTTTGCTGGTGGCCGGCGGCGGAAGGACGGTGGAGCGATTGTGATTGAAATGACTAGGTCGGAATCAGTATTTTTAGGTGAGTGCTCCACATTTGTAGGGCGTTTTGAACTGGAGTAACCATCTTGAAGACCATTCGGTGCAGTTTACAGTCCTACCCTTCTCAAGGCCTAGCGCCCCCCCCCCCCCCCCTCCTCCATTTTCTGATCTACACACCCGCGAAGATCTACAGACTATTTCAAGGTCATTCAGGCATCCATGACGCCATAAGGTCATTCAAATCCTGCCATTTCATTGGCTATGCGGCGATCAGGGCCCAGAAAAGGAAGTAGTCGAGTCGTCCATATCTGGCGTTGGCGAGCACGATTCCTAGATAAAACGGTCATCGATTGGCTCTCAGTCAATGTTGTGAGAGACGATGACGTATCGAGGACCATATTAACTGAATACAATAATTGTGTGGTATAGGACAGTATTTTCCCCTAAACGTACACCAATGGTTATAAGTGAGCTGATTTCATCATGTGATACTTGCTTCAATGTCCTGAGATGTGTAGCATTCCCTTCAACGGAAGGGTGAAAGAAAGGCTGCGACACTTGACGGGCACTGACTTGAGGCTGCCGACCGATATTTTCACGCGTTGGTCGAGTGTTGCGGTGATTTGTGGGAAACCGGTTCACAACATGTAAAAGGAATGCAGCTGAAAAGTTAAGTTGTTCAGACAACAGATGTTGAGCCCAGTTCAAATTTATTTGGGAGTGCTTCGCAAGTAGAGACGAGCGATACGAACCCAACGATACGAATCTGCGCGACACTAGTGCGCACGACGAAACTTAAACATCAAAAACTTACGTCCGTCGTTGCCCCTAATGTAAAAACTTACACCCATCACTACCTCTACTGGAGAAACTTGTACAGCCAATGCCAGTCTACGGGATTATTTCTACCGCAGACCTACACGCGACATCAGTGATTCAGCAAAGACTTGCGGTTATATCATGCCTCTAAAGCAATAAGTGATCTAGGTTTTTGCAGTAGACGCTCTGCCATGCAGCACTAATGGCGTATGCGAGTTTTTGTCGTGTGAATTTGGGGTGTCGTGCTCATGGCGTGCATGAGTTTTTGCAGCATAAGTAATGTCTCGTATAGGTGAAGGTTGCATAAGTACTTTTTGCATAAGTAACGGCGAGTTTAAGTTTTATGGTGCACCATTCATGTCGTGTATGAGTTTTTGCAGTCGAAGTAATGTCTAAATACTATGCGTTTCTTCAGCAGATGCAATGACGTGAAAACGTTGTTCGAAGAATGAATTTTGTCGCGTAGCTCTCATGTCGTGTACAAGTCTGCAGTAGAAGTAATGTCGCGTATAAGTAAAATTTGTTAGGTTAGGGTAGGTTATGTTAGATAAGGTTAGCTTAGGTTTCTGCGGTAGGAGGAATGCGGCGTGTAAGTGGTGTAGCACTCCTGGCGGTGGGAGCTGTTGCCGTAGCCCTAATGTAGTGACACCGTGAAAATGATATAGCATGAGCCGACCACTTTCGCTTTCGCGACTGAAACTGCGACCTTTCCATTCTCCAAGCAGTATGAGCGACAGGCGGCAGCCCCGGCCTAGAATCAAACCCAGTAACGTACCTCCCTGTAGATTAGCTATGATATGGCCCAATCTGTTACAAACGTGACCATTGTGCATGTATGTTACAATGACAGAGCTGTTTTGATTGGCTCATCGCTGTCGGGCCCGAATTTATACACGATGAGACTGGAACTTCCGCGAGGTCGCTCCTTATCCTGTAACCGACCTTCCCACACGCTAGATGTAGGAAGGTCGGATACTCATCGACACAAACATGGATGCAGAAACGGATAGAAATCGACGCCAACATGGCACGTGTGCGCGCATGTATAATAAGGAGACGTATGCCGACCGCTTTATTATTTTGGTGGTTAAACATATCATTATACACCGGTGTCGATTTGTATAATTTTGTGAGGACCCTGTCCCACCTCCCTCCCAATGTTGGCTTTGGGTCCGCCAAATCTCTTTGATTTAAGTGTTACGAAAGCGCCCAGAAATACAAAAGGGTCCAGGAATTTCTATCAGTAGTAGCCTATCCGCAATATGAATCAAAGGGCTAACAAACCGACACAAAGACTGATTTTACTCAGATTGGCTGGCTTGATTTTGGGGATGGCGGTCGCCCGGGTGTGGAGTGAACACTACCAGGAGCTCTCCCAAGCGAGTTGGGGACCGGGCCTACAGCCCTGTTGGCCCTGGGTCCGGGCGGGTCGGGTCTGGCGGCCCGTGGACTGGACCGTCCTGCTTACGCACCAATCCGTCTGGGGAGTTCAGCCACCATTCCCGAACCACACGTAGGCACGGACCTAACGTCCCACGGCCGCCAGCCGCCAGTACAACAGCCAGAACGCCGGGACGGGGATGATATGACCGAACGTTAACGGTGGTGTCATTGCGTCATTGGATGCTTCGGGGGCTCAAGCTCACCTCGCAACATCTTAGATAATTTGTCACTAGGCTTGCGGCGGTGCTGATGAGAAATGCCTCCAATGTCTAATCTCCCAATGCTTGACAACTTCCTCCGCTCCTGTGGCCGTGGAGGGGCGCGGGGTGAGTCGCCGCCGACGGAAGGGAGGGTCGGGCAAGAAACTTTTGGCATTGCGAACCTGATACCCTACGTAGCTTATTCTGACGAGCTTGAGACATACAAACTCGTAACTTACTAATAATTTGTGTACGAGCTTTAGTATACGTGCTATAGTTCGCAAACACAGACAACACTGACCTTGCCGTGCAGCCCAGGTGCCATCTGGAGGTTGTGCAAATCACTGTGCTGAGGCAAAACGTGGGGATAAATAGAAACGTTTAGACAAAAAAGCTCGCATGTAAAGGGACCCAAAAGTAGAAAACAGTGTTCCAAAATCCGTTTCTGGTAGGGTGTGCGGATCTGAAAAAAAGCCTGGGATGTCGATATCTGATATCAAAATGGGCATTAAAAAAAAAACAGAAACTTCACGGTTGAAATGATAACATGTAGACAGAATGGGTAGAGACATCCGTGTTTTTCGCTCAAGCTCTTGGAAAGATGCATACATCGTCATATTATCATCCTTCCAGACACACACACACACACACACACACACACACACACCACGCACGCACGCACGCACACGCACGCACGCACGCACGCACGCACGCACGCACGCACGCACGCACGCACGCACGCACGCACGCACGCACGCAGGCAGGCAGGCAGGCATACATGCATACATACATACATACATACATAGATATATATACATATATATATATATCATGTCATATTAGATATTAAATTATATATAAAATATATGTATATAATCTGGTATTCAATATGCATCAAAGGCGGCCTTCCCCAAAAAAACATTCGCCACTTATCCTAGATCCTTTTCCTTTGAGGATCACCACCAGAACACCGCCACGATGTTAAACATCACATCAGATTCTTTTGCTGAGACTGACGGAATCCTGATCCTGAATCTTGATCATTTTTGAAGAAGTGCTTATGATGCGCCATTCCCATAGATAATATCCTGAAACTGTTGCCCTGTGTTTCCACTAGGCGATAACATTCCTCTTCCTATTCACCAATGTCATTCATAACCTGGGTCCAGGTGAAAAAGGGGCAGGTAACTGATGAATGTTACGATTCATTTATCAGGCACCGAATGCTCAAGGAGAAACACGTTTCAGTGCCTAACTCAAATTAGTAAGCATGAAAAATCAGCATGTGGCCAATATAACGTCCTCTCTGCGAAGAAAAATGTCGTGCATAAATTGAAGAGATTTTCATTGATCGGGTTCCGTCGACA